GGTTTCGGCGTATAGTATTACGAGAAATAGGTTGCTTTGTTTGGGCTGTCCAAGTGGTCGCAATTTTTTTTGAACAAAGTCGACGATTTTCATTGTTTTCTTTAATGAAGGACTTAAGTTTTTGTTGAGCTGGTGAGTTAAGAAGTGGTGGACGCCCAGTTTGTTTTTTTGGTGTTAAAGAGTGAGTTTCACGAAGGCGTTTAAGTATGTCATTAACTGTTGTTTTCCCACACCCCAGTTGTTTGGCAATTGTGCGACTTGAATGTCCACAATTGTGACCGTAAACAATTGCGCCACGAGTTTTTGGGGTAAGTGGTTTCATTTTTCCGGAAAGTTCCAGAAGAAATGTGGTGCAGAGGATTGTTCATTGTGATTATAAATACAAAATTATTGTTTGTTTACATCATAATAACATGTGATGATCAGCATAATTTTGGCAAAATAAAGTGGCCGGATAATTTTGGGCACCATCTGTACATGACATAATGGAGTTTGAAAATCGTCAGATATATTATTTAATAAATAATACTCCACATGAAATTCAAATATGTCAAATTGATGCAGGAGATAAAGAAAATTAAGATTGAGAAGGTAACCTACTCTGATTTATGTCTTTAAGTAGTGGTCGTGGTAAAATATAACAAAATTTCCTTTTAATTGGTTGTTTTAAATGGTTAAGCAATAATGAATCCTTTTGAAATATTGGAATTTTTGGATTTGATGTAGATATTTGGTTTAAATCACTAATAAAAAAGTTAAAAAATAAATTTGTATTTTATATAAAAAAAACCAAAAAGTAGATCTTATTACTTGCTTTTCTTGAAATTCTCCCGAATCAGTAATAAAATTACATATCATTTTTCCTAACATAAATTCTCTATTATTTTCTGATAATACCGTTTGGTTCCACATAAATTTAATTTGATATGTATTTTTGTAATCTTCAAGTAAGACATAGCCCTTAGTATTAGTTAAAGGATTTTGCCGAAAATTCCACTGATCATATTGGAATATTTGCTTAAGTCTAGTCTCTCCAGCAAGTCCCCTAAAATAACACTGATATTTGTGTTTGGCGAAACTGTATTTAAAATTTTCTTCATCTTTAAATAAATATACAAAAATATTCTCTGGAAAGGTTTCGATTGAAAAACATTTTTTTCCAACAGCATGTCGAGAAAAACCCAGTTTTTTTTTAATAAGAATTATAAAGGAACTAATGTAACAAGACATTTATTTTGAAGAAGGTTGAGAAAGAGCATAGAAATGGGGTATTGTTTTATTATATAAATGTTTGTTTCTTTCATGAACAAGCAATTTTTGATAAGTTGTAAAAGCTTTAAAACAAAGCTTGCAAGAAATAGACAACTGTGTTGACATAAGGATGCGAAAACAAGATTTATACGATAGGTAGCAACTAAATGTATTGTGTACATGTAATAATCACATGGTTGATCTGTGTGACAAAATTGAAGATACGTCCCATATGATTTTCAAAAAATTTTTGTCTCGGATTTTGTGTAACATAATTTCCAAAAAAGGAAATTCCATAAATTTTGGCCGGAATTATGTTTAATTCGGCTTAACTTGACTTGACTCGATTTTATTAAATTATTAACTCGACTCGAATCGATTCGATTTGATTGTAATTTTCAACTCGACTTGACTCAACTCAACTCAACCAACTCGCAAGTCAACTTAACTCATTTCAGAGCACTAAATTTATTTATGAGCCTTTTGATGATTCTAGAAAATATAATAAAAAGATTCAAGGAGAACAAAATTTTCACCAATATTACCACCATTGGAAGATCAAACAAGAAGCTGACCTGCTCCTGCCAAAGTTTTAATTAAAGATAAATGGTTGATTCTTTGGAAAGAAACAAACTAATGACTCCAATGCTAGTAAAAAAGAAGAGAGTTCTTATAAAAAAGGTAAAGATAAATAGGTACAGTATATACCGAATATTACTCAATACTCCATTACCTGGTTATGAATGATTAAAACCTTCTCGTCATCATATTGAAGATCACGTTAGTCTTTGAGAGTATTGAAAACCAAATGATAGGTAATCAATCACCCAGAAATACATTTTTTTTCTTTAGTATTAAACAGTAGTTGTTGGCTGAAGAATAAAAAATTATTTTTTTTTTCTTGCATACTGTTGCACTCTTGAGGAATTTAGTTGCCTCATTTAATGACCAAAGAAAAAAAAAAAACTTTTTTTTCGACAAATGACAGTTGTTCACGCATGACAACTTTTTTTTTGTTGCAGAGTTATTGAAATAAAAAAAATAAATTAAATAAGAAGATTACAAGCCAATTTCAAGACTTACTTTCTTGGCCAAAGTATGATTTCAACTCAAAGGTGTTCATGTTGATTGATTAAATATAGTTTTACTAGTATAAAATTTAGTATAGATTTAGCATAGATGTTTTTATTAATATAATAAAACTGAACCACATTTAACAATAAAGTAATTTAACGTTATCTAATGATAAATAATATAATGCTATTTAATACAATAAATAATCTAACGTTGTTTTACTGTAAGATAATAATCATTAGTGATGATAGTTGTAAATTTAATCATATCGTTAATATATATCACATTTTATTAATAATGGGATATATATCAATAAAGTGATATATATCGCTATATATCACCTGTAAAACTTTCCCAATCTAGTTGATATATAACTTGGGGTCCTGTTATGTCGATAATTGTTTCATAAAAATTTTATAAACTTGTTTGTTGGCAATTTGAAATTCAGAAAGCTTTTTCATTCATTATAAAATTTGACCAAATTTGTTGTTAAAATTAAATAATCCATGATTCAATTATTAGTCATTTTGACAACTCTAACTTCATTATTCCAACAAACGTGTTTTTAATTTACCTAATATAAGAAAGAAATCATTAGCAGTGCATCAAAATTTATTTAGTGATAAAAGAAGGTACATAGCCAATTCCTCCTCCAGAATTAGCAGACTTGTATCAACTACAAAATTAGGGTGCCCAAAATGAGAGCTATGGGTTGGTTACCAAAGATGTCAAGATCAGTAATTCTCCTAAGTCGAGACGCATTCTACTTAGGAGTTACCCTAACTTTGCAAAATAAAAAATGACACACCTTATTTTTTATTACAACATAAGTTTCCTGATTAAACAGAAATTTTGTCTTCCCGTATTAAGATTATCACATGTGCCTGTAGGTATTAAAGCAGTGATAAAATCACTGTTAAAATCCAAAAATCCATGATAAGTATGATGCTCATTCTTTCAAATATTCAATTATTGAAAATAAATATTACAAATTAAAGTACTTTTCATTGGACTTACTATTTTGACCAGGATAGTTGTTCAAATTGATTAGATTCAAATTGTTAAGAGAATGGGTAAATAATAAATTATTTAAAATGTAGTTGAAGTAGTTAATTAATAATAACTAGTTAAGAAATAGAAAGAATAGAATAAAAAATAAAATGAATTAAGAATTAAGAAAGGATTTAATAGAATTTTAAAAATGAATAAATATAACAATATACTGAAAGCATAAAGAATTAAGAGTTTCAGTTGAACAAAAGAATAAAAAATTTTAAAATTTTAAATAAATTGAATTTTAAATAAATTGTTAAAAAAAAAATAAAGAATAAAAAGGGTCAAGAATAAAAATTTGGAATAAAAGAATAAATTTTAATTTAATTCTAAGTGAAATAAAGTAAAGATGGGTATCTTAATTATATATATATATTTGTAGGCTATGACTAAATTATATTATATAAACATGATATATTATTATCATACTGTCTATTTAAAATGTATTACATATTCTTCGTTAATATGAGTCAATATTGCATTTGTCAGTAATTAATGAAGAACATGTAATATATTTCATTGTAGCATGACTTGGACTGACCATTGATGTTAATATAGCCAGACAAGATTGATACAGTTATATAATAATTTGAGAGATTATATTTTTATTAAGACATGTTCCTGGTTTATTATCAAGTCTCATTCTTGTATTTCTTTGAGAAAAAAAGGATAGTGACTTGAATGATTCGGCTAATATCAATTATTTGGTAGTAATATTATTCAATTTACGAAAAAGAATATGATCTTTTATGTATGCACCGTATGGTAGTGTTCGTGACAAATGACTCAAATGGTCGGTCATTTAAGTCATTTGAAAAATATTAAAAATATTGAGAGTTATTATTAATTAATTATTTAATTTAGAATTAAGCAACTAAATATAAAAAATTATTTAAATAAATGTAATAAAAAATTTTTAAATATAGTGGAAAATTTTTACATCACGTTATATATTATTATTTTATGAAAATATTTAGTAAGAATTTTCAAAATAAGAACAGTTTGAAGCACATGAACATCCACCCAGTGTTCCAGTCCCAGTGAGTAGCTCAATGTACTGTATAATTAATTGTAATTGTGCTTATATCATTTACTCTTATTACTCTTATATATAGTGTCGAATAAGACTCCGCAAAATTTTCAAGGTTCAAATGACCAAATGACAAATGAATTTTGGATTTAATGTTTAAGAATAATTCAGTAGCAAATAGGCAAAATTAGAAGTTGATGAACTTAATAACTATTCGTAAATTGAACAAGGAAAATGATTTTTGACCCGGATTTGTTCAGAATTTTATTAATAACTGGTTAATCTATGTTTTTATGCAAGTAAAATAGTATTTTATAAAATAGTGGATAATATAATAAAGATATAGAATTAAAATATTAAATAAATAATAATATTTCTTAGTAATAAGGTAAGTTTCGGTTATGTAAGTTTCGGGTCGGGATTGTCTATCAATCACAGAAATACTGTTAGAGATCAGTTCTTATACGCTTAAAAATAAGCTAATAAGCTATACATTAAAAAATGTTTATTTATAATAAAGCAGAAGGTTAATTTTAAGGATCAACGTATATGTTAAAATCAATCCAATCAGATGTGAATAGAGTATCGCATACAATCAGACACAAATAAGGGAAAGCAGATTAACCATATAAAACCAAACTTAAAATTAAGGTGTATATTAAGGGATAAACATTTTAAATTCGTTCCTATATTGAATTCTTTAATTACAGGTCTAATTACAGGTCTATATATACATAAATTTCCAAACTAAAAATGTTTAACATATGCTACAATGCTACATATGCTATATATCCTATATATGCTATATATTCTATATATACTATATGTTCCATATATACTACATGTTCTATATATCTCATATATGCTACATGTTCCATATATTCTATATATTCTATTTATCGGACATATGCAACATATCGAACATGTTGAACGAACATATTCAACATTTGCTACATTGATTGGCATCACGGGTCCAGTTATATCACATGATTGCTGCGCAACATTTTACTGCGTAACAATACAAAAATACCGCGTCTCGTTACATTTAATGATTATCATCCTACGATCACTGGATGGCGAGAGAATGCAGTTTAACGTTTTTGAAAAAAGTGCTGTCCAAATACTTTTGGCAGTGCGATGCAGAATGTGAAATGAAATATAAACTCTAACAGATGACGAAACAAAAGTCGCATTATATAACATTATTAACATATTTATTTATTTATTATAATGGAATGATTTAATCGTATGCAAATTAGTTAATAAATCCATATTTATCGGTATTTAGAGACCCAATTAAATGTTATTCTTTGTATCTAATATTTGGCTGAATAAATTTCATTATTTTCCACGCTGTATAATCTAATTTTCCTCTCTCATTTTCTGTAACGAAAATTTGATCAGTATTTACTTTATAAACTTGAATTAAATCATGTTCATATTTTTCATTCAATTTTCGTAAATATCCCAAAGATATATCCTTCTCTTCATTTCTTCCTCTTAATTTTATTCTCTCCAAACACTCTTCCGCTGTCATTTCTATCCTTATGATTTTTGCCGTTTCTAATCTTAAGAGATCTCTATCCTTTTCCATTTCATTTATCTCACTATGAAGATCCTCAAGAGATACTCTTTCTTTTGTTAATGATATAAAAAAGTATGATGACAATGGTGTTCTATCCATTATAATGACCTCAGTTATTCTATTACAATTCCTTAACTGGTTATTTCTTGATTTAATAATTTCCATTTCTAATTGATATTGATATTTTAACGGTTCTTTATAAAATTTTTCCAAAGTATCTCTCCATTCTTCAATTGTTTCATGTAAAACTTTAACCGTTTTTCTTTTCTTCAAAAATATTTCTCTTAATTTTTCAGTTATAGAAGATTTTCCTACTCCTATACCTCCTTCTATTATTATAATTTGTCTCTTCTCTTGACATTTCTTTAAAATCCATTCCTCAATTTTTTTAACAGCATTTAACTTTTTTTCAAAGATTAATTTATTATATTCTTCACTTTTAATATCATTAAAAATTTCTTTAAATGTATTAAAATAATCCCAAATAATAAATTTATATAATAAATTTTTTTCATTTTCTAAATTTAATTGTACTTTATATTTTTTCATAATATGTTTAGATTCATTAAGGATTTTTTCAAATGAAATTTCTTCAATTTGATCCGATATTCCTTTTCCTTTATAAATTATTCTTCTATAATATTTAAATATATTATTATTTATAATATTATAATAATATCTTATTTCTAAAATATTATGAGATCCATGATATAATGTTATATCCATAATCTAAATGAATATGAAATATGATCTATAATCTTTTCTATGATTTTTGATAAAATCCTTAAAGACTCTAGAAAGTAAAATGTTCTCTCTCTTTTACGCTTGAAATTTGTTCAGTGGTTAAAAAGGTAGAGGAAAAAAAAGGAGTTCATTATGGGACATTTATCACAATTTTTTTTTAGCATACCTATAACTGCGCCTTATAAGAGGTAACACACCCTAACGCACCGAAATTAGGAAAGTTGTCGATCCAAAGTGATAAAAAAGCCGGCTTACTAGACAAATTTAACCTAAAAATCATTTCCTCATGTGGCTAAAAAAAAAATCGGTTGGGAAAATAATTATTAATATTTTTTTTTTTTTTTTTTCATTTGTAAATAGTGACGGAGCTAAAACGTGTTTCAAAAAATAATTAGTGTTACAAAACATTGTGTTAAAAAAATGTGTTACAAATTTAAAAAAGGAACAAGCAGGGGTAGATCAATTCATTACAGTGGCGCAATTAAAAATTGCATGGGTTAACAAAACGGCAATATGGGGAAAATTTATCCGGAATTAATGTAAATAATAAAATAAATAAACAAAAATTTTGTTTATTTTTGTGTGTTTATTCTATTTATTGATAAATAATAAATGTTCTTTAACTATTCTATTACATAATATTATTACATAACTGTTGTATAAATAAATCCTACAAGACTAATTAAAATAATTCCAAAATAATTATAAAATTGATTAGCAAGTTTTTGACCATCAGATTTAGCGCTACTGGCAATATTAGGACATTGATTTTCAAATGCTTGTAATGATTGTTGTGTATCACCAACAATCTTTTGTAAATTAGGAGTATCAGGAGGATGAGATGATAGATAGCCTTTGATATTACCATAAGATTGTTTTGAACATTCATCACATTGTAAATTAGCAAAAGGATTCGTATTTGGAGACTGAGATTGAGCTTGTTTTGCTTGTTCAAACTCTTTAACAGAACAATATTCTAAAAAAAATTAATAATATTAAAAGAGATAATAATTTGTTAAAAAAAACCAAATATTGTGTATATATATGTAAATGATATTATATTTATACTTAATAACTTACCGCCATTTACTTTCAAACACGAAATGTCTCTTATAGGAATAGCCAAATAAAAAGAAAGCATAAGTGATTCAGCTTTAGGTCCGACCATATTAGCACTAGTAGGAGCGGGTCCCTTGCCAGTTCCAGGAGTTCCTTCAGAAGAAAGATATTGATTCAATTCTGCATCACAAGCTTTATCAATCTCAGTATAAGCATTTTTAGCATCCGATTCACTACATGCATTATTTGCAGTATCAGCGCAAGTTTTATCTAAAGCATCTTTTACAATTGCTGAGTCTATTTTAGGAGTACCAGGAGTACCAGGGGTACTAGGAGTAGCGGGAGTAGCAGAACTACTTTCAAGTAAATGATATGTAAAAATACTAGTAAACAAACATTTGTTAGAAGGTGGCTTTTTGTTTATGAAGGATGATGCATCATCACTTCCACCATTTTTAAAAATTGCTTGTTGACATGGTGTACATGTCGTGCCTTGTAAAGCGAAACTTTGTTCACAAGTAGTTGCTGGAAGTGTTTGATCCTGAGCGTAAGCGAAAAGGATTAATGCGTTTAAAAATATGAAAGAACTAAAAGTTTTCATTGTTTCTATATTATAAGTACAATAAGGAATATTTATTAAAGGTAAATGTTTTTGTGAATGGTTTTTTTTTTAAAAAAAAAGACGGACTAAAAAATTCGATCTTTTTATAAATTCGTATGTGTAACATGATTCTTTATCAATTTAATTTAATTTGACCAGGAAAAATTATGAAACGTAACACAAATTATTATTAATATGATTGTTGAAAAATAATAATAATAATAATAATAATAAAAATATAGATAAGAATTATTAAACGTAATGGAACTGAAAGGACGTAAAGAACGTACCTTCTTTGTTAATTGTGATCTATTTTCAGTCTGTCTTTATTACATATCTATTTTCAGTTTAAGCCTTTATTACATAAAATTTGTGATACAATTATTAAGAAAAGAAATAATTAAATTTCATTTTACAACATTTTTTGACGGAATTCGGAGTTAATCTTGCATGCATAAAGTTTTCGATAGGGAAGAGTAAACCTAAAGTTTATTACAAACATGCAAAAGTATTGGTTAATGTAAGATTTCCATTTTAAAGATAAATATTGTACATGTGTTACGCAGTTTTTACCTAGTTAGGCATAAAATTGAGTAATTAGTTTAATTGCAAAATACTGTTTTAAGAAGGTTTGTATAAATAATATTAGATTATATTAACATAATAAATGAATGTTATGTGTTGTACAAATTCTAATAAAATACACTTGTTTGTAAAAATGGATTTGTATCCTACAAACATTAAGTTCTCGGCTATTAATAAGAGTAATTTGTGTTTATTTATTTGACTATTGATCAACCAATCGTATTTGAAAAGAGCAAGCATGATCGAAAGTTTGAAGAACAAGGGCGAAAAAAAAAAAAAAAATTAATTTAATAAAGAACTGAATACTCATGTAATATATTTAGTAATATGAATATATTTAGTAATATTTCAAAAACCAATAGAAAATGAATTAATATTCCAGATATATGATTTTTTATAGAGAAAGTGAATTTCTCTTTAAATTTTATCTACTACTCAAATTAATTAACTTGAATTAAGAAAAATCTTCGTTTGTAATTAAAAAATTCGTCATAACTAAAAAGTTCGCTACGAAAGAAAAAAATTATTTTACATGCGCAGTTTATACTTTATAAATTTTACTTCGCTTGAATAGTTTACACTATATAAATTTTACTTCGCTGAATAGTGTAAACTTTATAAATTGTACTTCGCTGAATAGTATTTAATATGTATGTACTACATTGAAGGTCCCAATGTATCAATAATTCAATTTGATAAACTGCGCTATGTATCACTTTTATAATTGTATTTGTACAATAATATTAAAGCTTAACAATAATAAATTGACAATAACTAATTAGATTTGGAATATCTTATCTATAAACGACTCATTGTCTCAGCCATCTGGCGCTTTTAGTGACGAAAAGAATTGACCGATTTTGGGCTTTAAAAATCCGTAATTTGAGCCACAATACGGTTTATAGTTGACAGGGATAACATAATGTATCGTAACATTACAGAATTTTTAAATTATTTTTTCGTTACAGTTATCATTTTTAGATTTTATAAAAAAAAAGGTTCCAAGTATGTCGTAATCAAAATCCGTGAAAGAAAATACAAAATATGCGGGAATTAGAACAAACCAGTTTATTCATTCAACTCGATGCCTTTCAAACAATACAAATATATACATAATACACGAAAATCAGGGAGAGGGATAATTTTATAAATTATTTATTTAAACAGCTTTATAAGTTGAGCTCTATTGATTATAATTAGTATGACACGACGCAAAAGTCAAGCTAATTAAAGAAAAGAAAATTTCCAAGTTCTAATAAAATAATCATAAAGGAACCAAGACTCGTTCGTGTAGGGAATACATGGCAGAGAAAAGGGATTAAAGAAGTTAATATTATATGAAAATATACGCCCCTTCTAAAAACGAAAATGTGTCACTGCGACAAAATATATTTGAATTAATCGTACCTCAAAATAAGGATATGAGATTATCAAATTTAGAACCACTAAAAGGGGAAAGTGAATCTTTGAAGCGTATGTAAATTTAAAAAAAAATTTTTAATAAAGAAAAAGTATAAATATTTACCGATAATTCTAATTTCAAATTTTATTGAATTTAGATTTGATTGATGATGAAAATCTTCCTCCAAATGAATCTCAAAAAAGTTCAAATTTTCGATTGAAAATAATTTATATCGGTATAACTTTTACAAAATACATTTCTTCCAGTAGGATTTCAAATAACGAAAGAAATATTAGGATACCTTAATGTAGAAGATTTAATATCCGTAAGTTTAACTTACAAACCATTCATAAATTTATTACAAAATTAGAGAAATTATGACAAGCATTGTACAAAAAATTATCACCAAGATCTAGTTAGTTCCATAATAAAAGGGAAAAGGAAAGGGAATGAAGAGATAGAAGAGGAGGAAGATACGATGATGCAAATGGCAGTATGAATTTCATTGAAAAATGACGACAAATAGGATTAAATGGAAAACTTATATACAAGATATAACTAATCAGAAAAAGAGATCATTTGAAGATTCACCAAAATCCATAAAAAATATTATGTTACTCATTTCTTTTAAATTCTTGTTTTCTTATAAGAAAGAAACAACAAGCTCAATTTGATTTTGTCTAGATGAAGAAGAAAAAGGACAAAAAGTAGTGGAGGTGGAGGAACAGCCATTGCAGAAACTTCATATTTTTAAACAACGTTGTCACTGCGCCAAAATCACGTTGCTTTTTTAATTTACCGTAAAAACGATTTCACTATACCTATTTTACTATTGTAAACATATTGTCAAAACGTAGTAATTTATTTTTTACGACGTTGTAAACACACTATTAATAAAGCAAACAATGTTATATATTACATTACTAGTACGCTAGCTAACTATTAAGTTATACATTATTAAGTATTGATAATATAATTCATTATATAAAATGTAAAAAAGTATATGAAAATAAAATTATTTAATAAACATGTTTCACTAAAGATAATTTGAAAAAGTCCAAAAAAATGAAACTTTTCCTTAAAACAAAATAATCCCAAGAAAGGGAACCTCCTACCGAAATTCTACATGTTTAAGAACTCCAAAAAACAATCTGTTCAATAACAAGAAGGTTTGAGGAAGCCCAAATCTATATAAAAGAAACATTAAAAATGTTTCTAATTAAAGGAAACAAAAAAGTAAGTTTCACAAAGAAACTTACCGTCCCCAATCTCCAGGTACCCAATCAAAGTCCTTCTATAACTACAAAAAAAAGTAAAAAATAAGGATGTTTTCAATACTAAGAAAAAAGGTAAATTTCGTTACGAAACTTACCATTTCAAGATTCCAATACCCTATTCCACTATTAAGTAAAATAATTTTTCGTGATGAGGGAGTTCTTGTATCTGCTCTTCTGTATCCAGAATCAAAGTCAAATTTTCATTTTGATTCATTATATGTCAATAGTAATACAATTCTTGTCAAAAATAGTTTCCACTGAAGTCTTGCATGTCAAAAGGTCTGGACATCTGAAAGAGAAGCTTGAAACGTAGAACCTAAAAAAAGAAAAAGACATGACTGTTAAAAAAAGGAAAAAAGAAGATGGAACGTTTGTTAAACGTTTTGTTAAATAAAAATGAAAAAAATTTAATCCAAAAGAACTTAAAAAGGAAAAAATCCAACCGTTGAAAATTTCACACATCCAAAGGCCTGGCCCGTCTAAAAACAACTGAAAAATTTAAATCAAAAGCATCCAAAGGCCTGACCGTCTAAAAAAAAGAAAGAAACAAGAAAATAAAATTTTAGTTAACATTTTGTCAAATAAAAAAAAATGAAAGAAAAAAAAATTTAACTTACCACAAGAAATACAAAAGAACTGCCTAAAAAGAGAATTAAATGAACTGTTAGGAACCATTCGTTAAAAGATGGAAGTCTCCCAGTCGTCAGGCTGGTAGTGTGCTATGCCCACCTCGGCCACAGGCCTCGCAGTACCTACTTCTTCTCTCCGTGAAGTCTCACTGTTCCCCATTTACCTTATCTGTCTGCCTCATCCATTCTATAATATTACCATAAAAAAGAAGGTAAGGAACAACGGAACCAGTAGGATGGACATTTACAACACTTCAAAAGAATTCAAAAGAACCATCCCCAAAAACATTTCACCCTGATCCCCCAAATACGTTCATCCAGGTATTATCTCTCTCATTCAAAGCTCGACAGATGATGTGACCGGAGGATAAAATGGGCGATTAAAGTAGCTCATCTACTGCGTACATATGACTGATCGCAGTCTAATTCAACAATCCAATGTTCGGAGCGGTGATCGCAAATGTTTGTGAAACCACACATTGCATGTACTACTGTATCACAAAATAAACGATCACATTGATTTCTCACATATAGTACCACTCGGTATTTTTGCGCAAATAAAATTCTTTTTTACTCTTGTCCTCACACACCGTACTTTGAGCCACTAGAATTTCACAAAAAATACTATAAAAGCCGTTATGTCTATCACGTTATTCTGTCTTGTCAAAGGAAATACGACCGCGAACGCTTTCTCCATTAGAATAAGTAGGGACGAGCCTGTTAGTGAACTCAAAAAAGCTGTAAAGGCGGAGAAAGCACCAGAGTTCGACCTTTTTTCCTGCGGACAGGCTGCTATGGAAGGTGGAAATTCATGACGATCGCGACGATCTCTTGCGTAATCTCACATTACAATACCAACCCGAACTACTTGCGACAAAAAAGATTTCGAAATACTTTCCTGTATCACCAGCCGAAGAATGTATTCATGTAATAGTTGAACCACCCGCGTCGACCGCCACTTCGAATCGCGAACAGGAGTTACTTGACGTTGCAGGCATTACTCAACAAGTCTGTCCATGGTACGTATAAAGTTTTGCCAAGAAATTTGGGCGACCTGAGGTCGCTGAAATCGTTTTCCGAATTACTCACTTTTTTAATCTGCCAGAGTTTGACGTCGTCGTTATTCCGAAACGGAAGGCAAATAAGTGGACTGCAAATATCGAACATGCAACTCTCGAAGCCTCAAAGATTTTATACGTGAATTGTACAAACCACCAGCGCTTGAAAATGATGGGGCAGTACTAAACTTTATGTGTGATGGATATAGATACTTACCTAGGATCGATGTCTCATTCCGAGAGATGTTGCAGTCGCTAGTGTCAAAAAATAATCTTAAGTTTACTGTGTTTATTGAGACGCCATCGAAACCCTTTTCAGATTGGTCAGTCCCGAAAGTTTGTGAACTCTACGGTCTTAGCGATGACCCGAATCCTAGTATAGATCTATATCCCATTTTTCCTTGTGGTAGTGCTGACTTGAATAACGAAAAGTCTCAAGCCGTGGTTAAACATCTATTGGCCGAACTGAAACTCCGCCAAAAGACTTATCCACTCAACATGACATATGAGGCAACGAAATCAAAATCATACCGGAAAAACTCATCGCAGGACATAACGGGCAAGGAAATCTCGATTATGCACGTTCGACTAATAGGATCGTTGGTTTAGTCGAAGTTAAAAAAGATGACTTTAAGCAGGGATTCACACAGACCACCGTGCAGATGGAATCATCATTGACGTGTCATATACGCAAAGTGGACGAAATAGAAGATTCTTACGGTTTGGACAAAGTATGGGGGATTGTGACGGATGCGGAAAAATAGTACTTTATGTAGATATTGAGGGAAAGCCGTCGTTTAAGTTGTCAGAACCAGTGATCGTCGCATACAAAGATGAGAATTTACAGGCTAAGGTGGAAAAGGTCCTCGGACATATTGTATGGTTGCTGGAGGAGGCACAGAAGCCGGGTATGATTCGCAAAGTGGGGAAGAATCGAAAGTAATAAAAAAGCGTAAGTCATTGAGCAAAGTTGCGGGAAATTCAGATACTGTAGATAAGTCTTAGTGTAGTCGTTAAAATCATGTATCGCGAGCCTTTGTATTATTTTACTTCATACTTTACCACCTGTATAATGGGATGCGTCCCGAATCATTGTATTTATTTTTTATCTTCTGTCTGTATTAATAAAATTTTCTTGGGCAATATTTCGACCGGGTCCCGGCTGAAATTCATCACGTGCAAACAGTTGATTTTACGAAATCATGTACAAGAAAAAACCATTTATCCATGTATGATAATCGCAGTGATTTGCATGGGGGATTATAACGCAATGCAGTAGTGGACAGATCCACTGGGATCGCTTGCCCCTGATGATTTACTAGTACTATAAATCAAGCTGACTGAGCTTCGCAGGTCTGCTCAACCAGGACAGTATGGACAAATCTCAAATCATTGCTCTAGCGCTAAATATACTCAACACAAATAGTTGTGTTAGTGATTTTGGCATTCATATTCCGAAAATGAAACCATGCAATTTATGCGAACAAGAGCTCATCACACAACCGGATGGGTTAATCAAAGAATTTACCATGGTATCCTGCGGATGTCTTTTTCACCAAAGTGCCTCGAAGAATACCTCTTGACGATTGCGAAAGAAAAAAGCATTATTACATGCCCAAATTGGGAATGCGCCAGAAATATCGAAACTTTTATCTCTCCTGATCTTTTTAAGGATACGACAAACTCGTCTGTAGATTTCGGAAGTCAAACTTCCATGGATGTGGACGCTGATGTATTACTTACGCTCAAACGAATTAGAAATGTTAGACGAAGAGGTGCAAATACTGGGTCAGAAAAAACGTTCTAGGGAAGTTAACAGAGGTAATGAAACGGACGCATCTCTTGCATCTACCGCATCTACCGAAAAATCATCTTGCAAAAAGGCTAAAAAGACTGGTGGAAAGAAAGAATCAGATAAGCTAAAAAAATTTATCGAAGAATAAATATAAATACGGATATATACCAGCTTCAAGAATGGGCTTGCCTGTGTACAAAGAAATGGCCGAAAGTACTAAAATTACCCTTAACTGTGTTGTTAAAGAGAATCCTATTGAAGGCCAGTTCAGAATTAAAATCGATGGAAATGATTTTATTTGTGACCTTCGAGAAGCCATAAGGGAAAATCAGAGAGGTACTTTTGAGTATGGTAGTCTTGGCATCAAGTTATGGTCAGTAGATATCGATCTTGGTAATAATAGGGCAGTGCTTGAACAACTTCAAAATGCTGACTCAACTGTCGAGTCCGTTACAGGAGGTATCAGGATTATGGAAGGATTCAGAAAGATCAGACTGCATTTTAATAATCCGGATCCAAATAAAATTCATCTTGTAGTCCAAGGTGGGCGTTTCATAATTCCCAGGTCTGAACAATAATTGATAAATTATAATGCTAATAATGAAGTAGCATTTTGTATTTAGCTGTCCAAAATTGGTGCGACGTATGTGATAAAGGTTCCGCATCGAAGAAAACCTTAAATAAACATAAAGAAAGTAATACTCACGACAAAATGCTAGATCGTGAAAGAAAAGCTAAAAACCCACCTTCTGATCCTGGTTCTGATGTCGAGGGTTTTCATGACTATGATGAAGGTAATGGGGATAACTCCATCTCATTAACTTCAAACGATATTACAGCCTTTAATGATGAAATTGAGAATCTGGGTCCTGGAAGATTGTAGTGATGCGGGATACGGTACTCCTTAGCATAAATAGAAATATTCTATCATGTAGCTGTGCGTTTTTTATGTAGTTATTGATTTACTGGTCGCAAGAAATAAATTTCAGTTCGCGATCACCTAAAAAATGCGCAGTAAGATAATATCATTGCCAAAAGAATTTTTTTTTTGACCTCGTATGAACAATTAATTTGCCAAATTCAGATATAAATGGGATTGTGAGAAGCGTATACCAATCCAGAACTTGATAAATAAATGCGCAGTAACATTTAGTAAAGATGTCACACGTATCACAGGAATAAGTAATTGCGCAAAATAATTTATTCTCAAACTTTCTCACAATTATGTATAGCCCCTTGATGATCTTTACATACGGATAGCGTTAAATTCTTTATTGTTAAATTAAGGGGATGCCGTTGATCAGATTTTCGTGATGCGATCATATTAACGTAATTTTTCCCAAGTGTGTTCCAAGATCGATCCTGCAAATTGTATAAAAAGGTGATGTCCTAGTTTGTAAATCTTTTTATCTGCCTTGTGCGAATATAAGCAAGAACCAAGGAAAAATAAAACGAAAATTATAATAAAATTAATAAATTTAAAACTGCCGTTATTTGCATCATCAATATTTACAATCAAACGAACCCGTATATTCTGCAAAGTAAATAATAAAGTAAGTTAGTTTATTGCTCGGCTAGCTTCTTGAATCAGAGTATATAGATAATGAGTATGATATAACCTTCGTTGTATGTATGGTATAGTTTTTTATTTTATACAGTATAGTTTTTTTATCCGTACTGTATAACCACTCTAATCTTTATATTTTAAATAGCTAAATCCCTAACCCTAACCCTAACCCTAATTCTCCTAATTCTAACCCTAATCCTAACCTTAAAGTAACAGTATACTGTATAAAATTAATAACTACACAGTATAGGCAATAAAAACCATACCATACATACAATGGGGGTCATATCATACTCATTATCGTATTACCGTTTTTACTATATATCGAGTACAATAGACGCAGTGAAATTTCTCACATGATTCTCGTCACATGCAACGGCACAGCAAAAGTCTGGCGCAGTATATCTCCCAGCAATGGAATCATCGGCGATAACGCAGAAAAAATTAAGCAAACAATTCCTTGTATATGAGGCGGAATGGAATGTTATTAAAATGAATCGTAGTGGTGAGTATAAATCGGAAATATGCTTGCGTTGCTTATTTTTTTACTTCAGTTGTTAAATACCCCGTAATTATGCTGTAGATTCGAAATTACTTAATATTGCGAAAGTTCTACTTTATATTGTGAGTGGGAGAGATATAGATAGACAAAAATTCTGTAAATATGGGTGGGATAATTTATTTCGGAAATCTAGTGTATTAAAAGAGTGTGGGGATGAGAATCTTGTAGTTAGTAAAATAGCTATAGAAATTTATCTGAAATCTGAGAGAGCAAAGAAATAACTTGATGCTGGGACTCGCATTAAATGGCCTAAGATCCGCGTGTTACCACCCTCTTTGATAGCATCATACTTTTCATTTGCTTCTCTAGCCAAAGATCGGATTTATCACTGATTTATCATATTTAACATGTATGATGTAATAATGCAACAAAATTATTATTGATGACTTACTTTTCCTTTTAAATAAATAATGACGACTTGTCATCGAATTCTATAATCATGTTTTATTAGGAATCAGATATATCAGCTAAGATCTAATGATTTAATCAGCTGGATAAAATGCAAAACGCGTACATATAATAATCAAAAGTTTAATCAGATTTAACGCGCGTTCATATAGCTTGAAAAAGTTAATTTTAAATCATATAGAAATCGGTTTTTTCTTTTTAAAGTACTTTTTTTAACATTTATTTTTTCTCATAAAATAAAAAATGACAAGTTCTATCATTACGGATATTATTCTTGACCTTCCCTTCGATGATATTGAAAAAGCAGGCCTACTCAGTTTTTTCACTGACAGAGATGCAAGTAAAGTAGAAGCGGTTCTTTCAAAAATCACGAAAAACGAAATTAAAGCTGAATATTTAAGGAAATATGTTAAATCAAATGGTAAGCCTTTGCGCTGTAGTAATTGGTCATGACGCGTCACAATTTCTTGTCCGGTAACTAACTATGCCTTTTTTTTGGTCTCCTAACCCAATTTAGACTATGAACATCCAGGTAAGCCTTTGCGCCGTAATGATTGGTCAACTCGAACGTGACGCATAACCTATCATATTTCTTTTATTACACACAATTAGATCAAAAATTATTTAGAAAGAGAAAACTCAATAATTCATTTATATCAACCGAAGGACCGATCTTTCATTTCAGTGGCAGGCTAGCTCTTCCAATATATGAACGAGAGATATTCAATACAGTAAACATTGGAATTCATGAAGAAAAATCGTTTGTAATACATGGTCCGTATCAAAGCGGAAAAACGTCTTTTTTAATTGCACTTGAAAAGATGCTACGTAATCAACACTTAAATGTTGTGCGTTTTGATATGACGGATGTAAAAGGACATATACTTCAGTATGGAGCACGGGCTGGGTTTTTCCGTTATTTGTCACGACATCTCTTTAGGGAAACCGTTGACGAATTATATTTTGACAAATATTTGAATGAACTTAAAGATCGTTTGTATCTCCTGGTAGATGAATTCCAGTATATATTCGAATCTAAGGATCTTTACGATGCATCAAGTGATTTCTTCAGGTCGCTCTCTTCCAAAAATGTAACCTATGTTTGTGTAGGTACCTTTAAAGTCGTAGATTTGTTGAGCGATGATAATCCATTAGGTTCTCCTTACAACAAGGCCACTTTCATCCCGATGCCATTCTTTACAACTGAAGAGTTGGGTAAACTCTTCCGTTTGTACAGTGAATTTTTTGATGAGATCATCCCGATCGATATACAGTCAGTCATCATGCACGAATCCTTTGGACATCCGGCGTCCTTTATGATCTTATTAAAGCTCTATCATGATCATCGGACGTATTCACCGATCGAATGGAACCGTTTATTAAAAGAAAATTTGGAAAGTTATCTAAATGGGACGCATATTAAAATTATAAGGGCATTGCGAATGATGAAATCAACAGATCTAGCACATGTTCGTGATCTCACAGCAATCAAAAACGAATATTGGAAAGTAGATCTATCAGACCTCAATGAGATTGACAAGTATCTACTTAATATTGGCATTCTTGTACCATTAACAAAAGATAGAGGATCTAATAGAATTTCTTTCACGAGTAACGTTATTTTTCGTGTTGTCTTTCGGGAGGTTTGGCCAAAGCCGAATTCTTTGCAAATACAAGATGTGAAAGACCCTCTCTCTCTGTTAGTACGTGCACTACAAAATATTACACCGACCACAATCATAAACGAAAGAATAAGAAATCTGCATGGACCGTCTGAAAAAGCTTTCCAAGCAGCAGTTTTCTGTGTTATGAATGAACTGCTTCCAACTTCAATGGATTGTTTATTTGAAGTAAGAATACGAGAGCATGAGGCACTTGATCTAATGGTGATTCAAGATAATAACGATTGGTGCGGATACGAGTTTAAAGTTGAAAAAATATTTTCGGCTCAGTTTAAAGATCCGGTAAAACAGGCCAAAAGATATGCTGAGTATTTTAGAATGAACATATACTTGGTTAATTTCTACCATGATGGTGGATCAACTCCAGCTGTGGTTAATGTTCCGAAAGACGTCACTTTAGTGAATGTAAAGTACAATGCGGAATGCACAAAATTTACTATTAACACGATTGATAACGAGATATCGATCAACGTCTCATGATTATAAACAAACATTCTGTTGGCTGTGCTGTTTATATTTTTATGTATGATATGTAACAATATGTAATAGTAATAAAAATTCTACATTAAGATAGTTACAGATAAATGAAAAGTATAGAAATACTATATCGATTTTTTTTTATGTGATTATAAATTTTATTATCTAATAAAAATGGCTAACCCGCTTAATTTAGTTGTTGTATTTTAGCGGTGCCAGCACTTCAGAACATGTATATGTGAGGCATCAATTATAACTGGCTAGCAGAAAATCATGCACACAATAACAAGAGAAACTTCGGGAAGAAAATACAAATGATATTAACTATAGATATAATACGAACCACTTTACTGGAGAAGAAATTTTTAGTTCTAGCTATGTAAGTTTTATGATCTATTCGCTTTGCTGATAGAATATCATATTACTTAGCCGACTTTGATCTTGTTTTAATTAGACGACCAAAGCCTATGAGAAGGGACTAAAAATAAGAGGAGCTTTGTTATTACATAAAATTTTATGATACAATTATTAACTGTTAAGAAAAAGAAATACAGAAATACTTAAATTTCATTTTTAATACATTTTTTGACGTAATTTGGAGTTACATCTTGCATGCATAAAGTTTTCGATAAGAAAGAGTAAACCTAAAGTTTATTACAAACATGCAAAAAATATTGACCAATGTTGTAAAGATTAAAGATTTTCCATTTTAAAGATAGACGTTCCGCAGTTTTCCATAATAATTAGTTTAATTGCAAAATACTGATTTAAGATAAATTACGGAATGATAGGATAAAAATTGCCCTTAAAGTTAATAAATGATTGTTATGTGTTGTACAAATTCTAAAAAAAAATATCCTTGTTTTGAAAAAATGGATTTGTATCCCACAAACATTAAAGTTCCCGGCTATTAAGAAGAACGGGTAATTTGTGTTTATTTACTTGACTATGATCAACCAATAGTATTTGAAAGAATGAGCATGATCGAAAGTTTGAAGAACAAGGACGAAAAAAAAATTTTAATTTAATAAAGAATATTCATGTAATATATTCAGTAATAAAAACCAATAGAACATTCTTTTTCCGATCGATAAATCGGGATATCGGATATGTGATTTTTTTACAGGGAAAGTGAATTTCTCTTTAAATTTACTCAAATTAATTAACTTGAATTAAGAATAAAAATATAAAAATATTTGCTTGTAATTAAAAAATTCGTCATAACTAAAAAGTTCGCTACGAGCGAAAAAAATTATTTTACATGTGCAGTTTAAAAAGTTCGCTACGAGCGAAAAAAAAAATATTTAACATGTGCAGTTTACACTTTATAAAATTTACTTCGCTGAATAGTATTTCATTGAAGGTCCCATTGTATCAATAATTCAATTTGATAAACTGCGCTATGTATCACTTTTATAATTGTATTTGTAAAGTACAATAATATTAAAGTTTAGCAATAATAAATTGACAATAACTGATTAGATTGGGAATATCAATATCTTATCTATAAACGACTCAATATCTCATCCATCTGGCGCTTTTTAGTGACTAAAAGAATTGACCATTTTGGGCTTCAAAAATCCGTAATTTGAGCCACAATACGGTTTATAGTTGACAGGGGATAACATACTAATGTATCGTAACTTAATATCACGTTACAGAATTTTTAATTATTTTTTCGTTACAAGTTATCATTTTTAGATTTTATAAAAAAAAAAAAGGTTCCAAGTATGTCGTAATGGTATTATCCGCAGATACCAATTCACTGTGATCAAAGAAAATACAAAATATGCGGAAATTAGAACAAACCAGTTTATTTATTCAACTCGATGCCTTTCAAACAGTACAAATATATACATAATACACGAAAATCAGGGAAGGGGATAATTTTATAAATTATTTATTTAAACAGTTTTATAAGTTGAGCTCTATTGATTATAATTAGTACGACACGACGCAAAAGTCAACCATAAAGGCTCGTTCGTGTAAGGAATACATGGCAGAGAAAAGGGATAAAAAAAAAAAGTTAATATTATCGAAAATAAACCTAATAGGTTTAGTTGAAAATGGAAATATACGCCCCTTCTAAAAACGAAAATGTGTCACCGCGACAAAATATATTTGAATTAATCGTAGATATGAGGTTATCAAATTTAGAACCACTAAAAGGGGAAAGTGAATCTTTGAAACAAATGTTTGGTATGTAAATTTAAGAAAAATTTAAAAAATATAGATATTTACCGATAATTCTAATTTCAAATTTTATTGAATTTAGATTTGATTGATGATGAAAATCTTCCTTCAAATGAATCTCCACATAATACATTTCTTCCAGTAGGATTTCAAATAACGAAAGAAACATTAGGATACCTTGATGTAGAAAATTTTAATATCCGTAAATTTAACTTACAAACCCATTTATAAATTTATTACAAAATCAGAGAAATTATGGCAAGAATTGTACAAAAAATTATCACCAGGATCTAGATAGTTCTATAATAAAAAGGAAAAGGAATGGGAATGAAGAGATAGAAGAGGAGGAAGATACGGACGATGATGCAAATGGCAGTATGAATTTCATTGAAAAATGGCGACAAATGGGATTAAATGGAAAACTTATATACAAGATATAACTAATCAGAAAAAGAGATCATTTGAAGATTCACCAAAATCCATAAAAAATATTATCGCAATTTCTTTTAAAATTCTTTTTTTCTTATAAAAAAAAAACAACAAGCTCAATTTGACTTTTGTCTAGATGAAGAAGAAAAAGGAGTTGAAGAAGAAGGAGCTGAAGAAGAATGTAGTGGAGGTGGAGGAACAGTTAGTGTTGTTAAGTACAAGTCAAACCGAACCAAGCCAAACCGGACCGATGGGGTCGACTTGGTTTGACTTGAAGATTTTGAGTCATGGTCCGGTTCGGTCAGTCAAGTTGATGGGGTCAAACCGATGGGGTTGATGGGGTCAATAGGCAAGTTGATGGGACCGATGGAAAGTCAATGGGACCGATATTAATGACCCCATCAGTTCAACTTGGAGGTCCAAGTCAATCGGTTTGGTTTGACTTTGGCTCCAAGTTGGACCATTGCAAAAACTATAATAGGAGTACAAATTGTTAAAATTGAAATTGATAAAAATGATGGTTCTAAATTTATAAGATATAATAAAATCAAATTTGTTATTAAAAATATAATTGTCCATGTTAATGTTGAAATTTTAGACACATCATTTTCTTTTTTTTAAAAAAAAATTTGTAAAAGAAAAATGTATAAACATTAAGAAAAATGTATACACGAAAAAAAGTATCTGATTGTGTGACACTATCAAAATTGCTGCGGTACATGTCAGTGTCGACGGTAAATACGGTCATAAATAATGTTAAAATAAATAAACAAAAAATTTTAAAATTTTGTTTATTTTTTTTTATTTATTGGTAGTCTCTATAATGTTTATTCTATTTATTGTTAAAATTAAATAGGAAACGTAATAATTCGTAATAATTAATAAACGTTCTTTAACTATAATATATTATTATTACATAAATGTTGTATAAATAAATCCTACAAGACTAATTAAAATAATTCCAAAATAATTATAAAATTGATTAGTAAGTTTCTGACCATCAGATTTAGCGCTACTGGCAATATTAGGACATTGATTTTCAAATACTTGTAATGATTGTTGTGTTTCACCAACAAACTTTTGTAAATTAGGAGTATCAGGAGGATGAGATGATAGATAACTTTTGATATTATTATAAGATTGTTTTGAACATTCATCACATTGTAAATTAGCAAAAGGATTCGTATTTGGAGGTTGAGATTGAGCTTGTTTTGCTTGTTTATCAAAATTTTTAACACCACAATATTCTAAAAAAAAAATATTATTAAAAGAGATAATAATTTGTTAAAAAAACCAAATATTGTGTATATATATGTAAATGATATTATATTATACTTAATAACTTACCGCCATTTACTTTCAAACACGAAATTTCTCTTATAGGATTAGCCAAATAAAAAGAAAGCATAAGTGATTCAGCTTCAAGTCCGACAATATTAGCACTAGTAGGAGCGGGTCCCTTGCCAGTTCCAGGAGTTCCTTTAGAAGAAAGATATTGATTCAATTCTGCATCACAAGCTTTATCAATCTCAGTATAAGCATTTTTAGCATCCGATTCACTACATGTATTATTTGCGGTATCAGCGCAAGTTTTATCTAAAGCATCTTTTACACTTGCTGAGTCTATTTTAGGAGTATCAGGAGTACCAGGGGTACTAGGAGTAGCGGGAGTAGCAGAACTACTTTCAAATAAATGATAAGTAAAAATACTAGTAAACAAACATTTGTTAGAAGGTGGCTTTTTGTTTACAAAGGATGATGCATCACTTCCACCATTTTTAAAAATTGCTTGTTGACATGGTGTACATGTCGTGCCTTGTAAAGCGAAATTTTGTTCACAAGTAGTTGCTGGAAGTGTTTGATCCTGAGCGTAAGCGAAAAGGATTAATACGTTTAAAAATATGAAAAAACTAAAAGTTTTCATTGTTTCTATATTATAAGTACAATAAGGAATATTTATTAAAGGTAAATGTTATCAGTTATTGTGAATGGTTTTTTTTTTTAAAAAAAAAAGACAGACTAAAAAATTCGATCTTTTTATAAATTCGTATGTATAACTTGATTCTTTATGAATTTAATTTAATTTGTGCTTTTCAATCAGGAAAATTATGAAATATGAGGGACGTAACACGAATTATTATTACGATTGTTGAATAAAAAAAGAAAGAAATGAATAAAGAAAAAAAAAACATTAAAATGAAAATAGTAATAATAATATAATAAAAATAGAATAAATAGATAACAGATAAGAATTATTATAGGTACCGGAACTGAAAGAACGTAAAGAACGTACTTTCTTTATTAATTGTGATCTATTTTCAAGTTTATTACATAAAATTTTGTAATACAATTATTAAGAAAAAGAAATAATTAAATTTCATTTTTAATACATTTTTTGACGTAATTTGGAGTTACATCTTGCATGCATAAAGTTTTTGATAAGAAAGAGTAAACCTAAAGGTTATTACAAACATGCACCAATGTTATAAGGTTTTTCCATTTTAAAGATAGATACTGAATACTGATACATACGTTCCGCAGTTTTTACCTAGTAATTAGTTTAATTGCAAAATACTGATTTAAGATAAATTACGGAAATGATAGGACAAAAATTGCCCTTAAAAGTTAATAAATGATTGTTATGTGTTGTACAAATTCTAAAAAAAAAATATCCTTGTTTGAAAAAATGGATTTGTATCCCACAAACATTAAAGTTCCCGGTTATTAAGAAGAACGGGTAATTTGTGTTTATTTACTTGACTATGATCAACCAATAGTATTTGAAAAGAAAGAGCATGATCGAAAGTTTCATGAAGAACAAGGGCGAAAAAAAAAAAAATTAATTTAATAAAGAATATTCATGTAATATATTCAGTAATATATTCAAAAATCAATAGAACATTCTTTCTCCGATCGATAAATCGGGATTAAGGATAAAATTTTTTGCTTGTAATTAAAAAATTCGTCATAACTAAAAAGTTCGCTACGAGCGATAAAAAATTAATTTACATGTGCAGTTTAAAAAGTTCGCTACGAGCGAAAAAAAAATTATTTTACATGCGCAGTTTCTTTATAAATTTTACTTCGCTGAATAGTATTTAATATGTATGTACTACATTGTAGGTCAGGTCCCATTTGTACAATTTGATAAACTGCGCTATGTATCACTTTTATAATCATAATTGTATTCAATAATAAATAATATTAAAAACCGAACAATAATATAATTGACAATAACTGATTAGATTTGGAATATCTTATCTATAAACGACTCAATGTCTCAGCCATCTGGCGCTTTTCAATAAAGAAATTGACCGATTTTGGGCTTCAAAAATCCGTAATTTGAGCTTCAATACGGGTTATAGTTGACAGGATAACATAATAACATAATAATGTATTGTAAGTTACGGAATTTTTTTAATTAATTTTTCGTTTTTAGATTTTATAAAAAAAAAAAAAAAGGTTCCAAGTATATCGTAATCAAAATCCGTGATATTATCCGCGGATACCAATTCACTGTGATCGACCTATTTGTTAAAGAAAATACAAAATATGAACAAACAGTTTATTCAACTCAATGCGGGATTAGAACAAACCAGTTTTATTCAACTCAATATGCGGGATTCAACTCGATGCCTTTCAAACAATACAAATATATACACAATACACGAAAATCAGGGAGGAGGATAAATTATTTATTTAAACAGCTTTGTAAGTTGAGCTCTATTGATTATAATTATGACACGACGCAAAAGTCAAGTTAATAAAAAATTCTCTAGTTCTAATAAAATAATCATAAAGGAACCAAGACTCGTTCGTGTAGGGAATACATGGCAGAGAAAAGAGATTAAAGAAGTTAATATTATCGACAATAATAAACCTAATAGGTTAGTTAAAGATGGAAATAAATGGAAAAGAATCGTCCCTTCTAAAAACGAAAATGTATCACCGAGACAAAATATATTTGAATTAATCGTACCTCAAAATAAGGATATGAGATTATCAAATTTAGAACCATTAAAAGGAGAAAGTGAATCTTTGAAACGAATGTTTGGTATGTAAATTTTTATTTTTAAGAAAAATTTTTTAAGAAAAAAAATATAGATATTTACCATATTTACCGATAATTCTAATTTCAAATTTAGATCTGATTGATGATGAAAATCTTCCTTCAAATGAATCTTCAAAAAAATTCAAATTTTCGATTGAAAATAATTTATATCAATATAAACTTTCACAAAATACATTTCTTCCAGTAGGATTTCAAATAGCGGAAGAAATATTAGGATACCTTGATGTAGAAGATTTAATATCCGTAAGTTTAACTTACAAACCCATTCATAAATTTATTACAAATTCAGAGAAATTATGGCAAGAATTATATAAAGAATTATCACCAGGATCTATTAGTTCTATAATGAAACCATTAATTATGATACAATCATTAGCATCACCAGAACTTAAACCATCCGTAGCATGGAAAAGACAAGTATTTAATAGATTAAAATATCGACCATTTTATTTAGCATTTACATATTTAGATGATCCAAATGATTTTACTATATCATTCCCAGGAGTTTCTTATGATCTTTCAACGGTACATATTGAAGCTTATCAATACGCAATATATGATGAAGAAGAAACATTTTCTCCAGCTAATTTTGTTCAACATAATACTCAAATATTTGATTCATTACAAGAAGGATTTAATGAATGGAGAATCGCAATTGAACCTATTAAAACTGAATTAACAAAACCATTAAAATTAAAAGATAATGATGAATTATTCATTGTATATAATTATATGGATGTTAATTCGATTTTTCAATTCAATTTTTTGAAATTATTTGATAATATAAATGAGGCCATTAAATTTGCCGAATCTTTTAGTGAATTAAATGATGATGATGATTATTATCATATTAAAAATATTAATCATAGTGGTAAAATTTTTGATTGTAAACAAAAATTTATCAAAGATTCTAGAATCGCTATTGATATCGTAAAATTTTGGTCTAAAATTCATCAAAATAGAAATTTACCAAATTCTTTTATTGAAGATGACATTAAGGGGAAAGGAAAAGAGGAAGATACGGACGATGATGCAAATGGTAGTACAAATTTCATTGAAAAGTGGAAACAAATGGGATTAATGGATAAAACTTATATACAAGAAGTGATTGATGATATAATTAATAAAACTAATCAAAAAAAGAGATCATTTAAAGATTCCATGCTAGATATGGAGTTAGGTGAAACATCTTCAAGCAGAAATGTTAAAAGAAAAAAATGATTACGTATAAACGTCTAATTATATACGTATTTTCACGTGATTTATAGGCAATGGTCATAGCCGATTGAACAAAGTAAGCTGTACTGTATGTAATAGGGAGGGTTTTACCTTATTATTTCGATTATTTAGATGCATATAGTAATTAAACCATTCTTATATAATAAAAACAATGTTTTTAGTAATAAAGTTTTATTGCTCATTTTATTCATATTGAAATACTTTGAAAGGCAAATAATTAATTTTTTTTTAAGTGTTTGATAATTCGACAACTTTCAAGTTAAGTTTAATTCTTTGTAACGTAATTACGTGATTTGTGACTACTTAAAAATGTTACGCAAGTAAAAAGTTGGGGAATGTGTTAATGTTTTATTGATTACAATTAAATTTAACTATACGCCACAAAGTTAGATCCTAATTTGGACTTTTGTATTGTTGTACAAGCGGACTTGCTGAGTTATTTATTATTGACATCAGAAAATAATAGGCTGAGAAACAGATTCAAATGATCGGTAAAATGCAATGAAAATGCAGGTATAAAAATAATTATAGTAACTGAGAAAATTTTTTTTTTTTTTTTTTTTTTTGATAGATTTTTTTTTTTTCTTCTTTTCTTCTTGTGTAATTTTTACGGCGTAAATCACATTAATCGATGCATCGGCGTTTCTTGATCTTTGGATAATAATAAATGGTATGTATGCTGTCTCTTATACACATCTAGATGTGTATAAGAGACAGGTATGTTACTCTTTGTTACGTGATCAACCAATATCAAGGACTTAAAAGAATACTAGTTCCCTAAAAGAGAATGATACATGATCAAAATCTTGTGGTTACGCTTGTTTTGTGACTATTGTCTCATCTATGGGGTTGAATAATTTCCATTTCTGGTATCTTTGTGTTTCAAGCACCAATTTTAAACTAGATTTTCATTTGAAATACATATATATATTTGATTGATTTTTCTGAAAAAAAAAAAAAAAAAAATGTCGACAGAAACAAAAACGACGGTTTACAAAACTATACGTTTAAATTCTCCAGTAAAATATCAATCAGTTCCAATATCATTAAATTTAAACAAAAATGTACCTAAACCTAAGACTGTAACCATAAAATTAAATTCTCCTTCATTATCATCATCATCATCATCATCGTCATCATCATCATCATCATCGTCGTCGTCGTCGTCGTCGTCGTCACCATCGTCATCATCGTCATCATTACCTTTACGAACATCAAAGAGAGATGATTTTGGTTTTTGCGAAGAATGTAATAAACAATATACTTCAAAAAATTATTGTTCATCATGTTTTTCTTCACATTTTCAAAATAATTTTGATAAATGGAAAAGTGGAAATGATAATATTGATAAATTAATAAAATCATCACAATCTTCTAATAATAAACGTAGAGTTTTTATTGAATGGATACCTTATGATGATTTACATGATGTTAAATATATATCAAAAGGTGGTTTTAGTACAATATATTCTGCTTATTGGTCAAAAGGTCCAATTATTAATTGGAATCAATCAAAAAATGATTGGAATCGGGATGGTGAATTTAAAGTTGCATTAAAAAGATTACATAATTCTCAGAATATTTCTAAAGATTTCTTATATGAGGTAAAGTATTATATATTTTTTATGTAATTTTCGGGGGTGGAGTTTGTGAATAATTATTAACACTTTAAATTATAATTTTAGTTTGAGATTTCGTTGCTCCATTGTTCTGGTAATCAAAATAATGAAATTTTGCCAATATATGGAATAACGCAAGATTCCATAACGAAAGATTATATGATAATAACTAAATTCGTTGAACAAGGAAATTTAAGAAATTTTATTAATAATAATTTTATTACTCTTTCATGGTTACAAAAACTCGAATTATTACAATCGATAGCAATCGGACTTAATAAAATTCATTCATCAGGGTTAAGTCATAATGATTTTCATTCTGGTAACATACTTGTTTCCAATGAAAAGTCTAATTTATCAATATTTATATCGGATTTGGGAATTTCGGGTCCAGCTGATAGATCATATGACCCATTTGGGGTGATGCAATACACACCCCCTGAAATACTTCGTGGTCACAATTACACAAAATATTCAGATGTTTACTTCTTTTCCATGTTAATGTATGAAATTTCGGTTGGCGTTCCCCCTTTCATTAACGTTTCGCGTGACCAATTAAACGATTTAATCTTTGATATTTGTGATGGACTTCGACCAATTTATAATTCTAAATATATTCCAAAATCTTTTGAAAAAATAATGAAACAATGTTGGGATGATGATGAATTTAATAGACCTCTTATCTCTCAATTAGTTGATATTATTGGAAATTGGATTAAAGAAATTAAAGAAAATAATATTAATTCGCAATTTAATAAATGTGAACAACAAATTCGATTGAAATATCCTTTATATAAATATGATATTTATAAAAGTCAACAAATTAAAACTACTGATTTGGGAAAAGAAGATTTTGAACATGATGATGATAACGAAGAATTAAATTTTAATGAGAATGATAGTGATGAAGGTATGTAATATGTAATGTAATATGTAATGTAATATTTGATGAAATTTATTAAATTATTTATTTATTAATTAATTAATTTTCTTTTTTTACATAGATATTGAATTAAATGAAGATTTTGAACGCAGAGGTAAATATATTTTAATATTGATTTATTTATATAATATTTAATTTTTATTACATGATTTTTTAAAAAAAATTCTTTTTTTTTATTTTTAGTTCAAAATAGATTCGTGAAACTAACGAGGAAAGATTTAATGAAATGGCTCGAAAATGTTGACGAATCTTTTGATCCAAATCGTTCATATCCTAGATAATTAATTTAATATATACCTGTGGCACTCCGCCCTTTTTTTGGAAAACATTTACTCTCCCAGCCCTCCCTTTGAACAACTTGTGCCTTACCAAGACGCATTTATAATTATATATATTTATTCATTTTATTATTCATTTTTATTGGTTATAAAAATTTCATATGTATATTATTATCAAAAAAAAAAGTATTATTTCATTATTATTTAATTATTATAATATAAATAGGGTTAACTGTAGTCTCATGTATTTAAAAAAAATAAATTATTCATATTCATATATTATATATATATATTTATAAAAGTATTTTTTTGTTGTTGATATAATAATTTAATGGATTATCCCATCTCAGTCATCTCAGCCTAGGAATTCATCTTTAACAAAATCATATTTGTCGAGCTTTTAAAATAATTAAATACTTTGCATAGGTACCGGCTAATTATTTAAATATAAGTGTATTTTTTTTCGTTGTTGATATAATAATATAATAATTTAACGGATTATCCATCATCTCAGCTTGGAGAATTCATTTTTAACAAAATCCGTATTTGTCGAATAATTAAATACTTGGCATAGGTACCAGCTAATTATTTAAATATAAGTGTATTTTTTTTTTGTTGTTGATATAATAATATAATAATTTAACGGATTATCCCATCATTTCAGCTTGGAGAATTCATTTTTTGACAAAATCATATTTGTCGACTTTTTAAAAATAATTAAAATACTTGGCATAGGTACCAGCTAATTATTTAAATATCTGTCTGTTGTTTACATAATAAATTTAACGGATTTATCCGGATTATATTCATCATCCCAGCTTATGGAATCTATTTAAAAAGGAAATATTATTTAAATATTTAAATTAAAACGGTCGACTTTTAAATAATTAAAAAATACTTGGCATAGGTACTAGCAATATCTGACTGTTTTTCTTTGTTTACATAATAATTTAACGGATTTATTCGGATTATATCCATCATCCAATTCATTTAAAAAGGAAATATTATTTAAATATTTAAATTAAAACGGTAGACATTTTTTAAATAATTAAATATTTGGCGCAGCTATCAGCTAATTTAAGCAATTAGGGATTGTCTAGTCTAACTATTTAATTTCAGTACAATATATATAAATCATGATTAACGAATTATGACGATTTCGGGCTAAATTTTGCCAAGATGAGCTCATAATTCGATAATTTAACTTGATAGTCGTAGTAATTGAAAAAGGTATAAATATAATGGACAACAAATTTCGAAATTTCGGAACAAGAAAAAAAAATATTTTAAAAAACATTTTAAACATTATAAACATCATCTAAACATTATTAAAACATTTCTCAAAATGACACGTAACAAGGATACGGAATTTAATAACGATCATACTAATAATAATAGTAGTAGTAATAGTTATAATAAATTTGAAAGGAAAATTTCAAGATTATTTGATGATTTCTTAAATGATGTAGGATTTACCAGAACTAATAGTACAAAATTTCGTGGTGTAGATGATGGTAAAAATGCTACTTGGTCCCCTGCTATTGATATAAAGGAAGTTGATAGAGAATATCTTGTTGTCGCTGATGTTCCCGTAAGTTTTCTTTCTCTCATATTTATTATTCATTTTTTTAATTAAAAAGAAAAATTAAAATTATATATTATTATATATTTATATTTTTTGCTAAATTTTTTTTTTTTATTTTTTTCCAAATAAATTTTTATAGGGTGTTAGAAAAGATGATATTGATATCGAGTTACATGAATCAGTTTTGGTTTTGTCCGGTCATCTTAGTCAAGATATATATTCTTCTCCACAAGCACAAGAGATAAATGTTGGTAAAGATAATCGCCAACATCCAACTAATCAATCTAATCAATATCCGCCACCTCAACAGTATCAACAACAACCACCTCAACCATATCAACAAACGACCGAACCTCAACCATTTCAACAAACTCAACAACAACCTCAACAACAGCTTCAACAACAACCTCAACAATCTACCGAACCTCAGAAATATCAACAACAACCATCTTCAGCTCAACAGTATCAACAAACGGCCGAACAAAAATATAATTTAAATGAGCCTCAACAACAATCGAGCCAGCCTCAACAATACCAACAACAATCGGATGATCCTCATAACCAACAATCATCGAATGATCCCCAATACCAACAACAAACGAATGAATATCAACATATTAAACATCGTCGTCAAAACGATCCTTCTCAAAATGATAGATTTCATATACGAGAACGTCCTTATGGTTATTTTTCCAGATCAATTCAGTTACCTACTAATATTAAATCGGATGATGAATTTTTTGCTACTTTAGAAAATGGTGTATTAAAGATCAGAATTCCTAAAAATAATGATAAACCTAAAAGAAAGATTACAATTAAGTAAAGTAGTATGAGCATTTGAAATAATTTATAAACGTTTGAAATAATTCAAAAAACATACTAGCAATATTTTTTATTAATTCACATATATGTAATAATTTTTGTATTATATCTTTGCTATATTATATTATTAAATATATATTTTTATGAATAACAATATGACTTCGGATAAATATTTATGATGCAATGCGAATAATCATATGGATCATGCAAAAAAAGTTATTACGCATGTCAATGTTTTTGACTCAATGCATTGACACAGTATACAAAATATAAAGGAAACGTGTTTTATCACTAATTTTTTTTAATTATTTGTAGATCTTACGATCAATTTTTTCATGCCAAGTTTAAAATTATACATCATCACAGACTCATGTCACATGATGAGAAAATAATGTACTTTGCTTTTCCTTAGGTTATACATTTTATATTACTTCCGATCAAATTTATAAATTGTTCACAATCCGTTACTCTTTTGAAGTTTGTGTTGAAAATAAAACTGGTTTTTCATGTTAAATTTAAAAGTTTAAACATCTATGGTATCAATGTATCATCTTACATACCTTTTTTCATATCTGAGAGTCCTTTTAACGCTTGCAAGTGGCAGCCACAATTAAATTGGATTTAGTTTAATATCCAAATTCTTATCGTACAAATCGTAGCAACATGCGCAACTTTAGTTATAACGAACCTGTTTGTACTGAAATCTCGTAACTTAACCAGCTCCTATATATAAGCTATAAAATAACTTTATACTTTTTATAACGAACGGTCATGTGACTATATAGTAGTCCAGACCAATTTTATAGCGCTGGCCAGAATTACTAGTAATTTTTTCGAAAATTTATGTTAAACGAAATTATAATTTTGGCCAGCATTACAAATTTGGCCTAAATTATCCAGAAGTTCGGTAAATTATATTACGAATTCATTATATACCGAACCAAACCTCCTGGAACAGAGGTTCGTGGCAACTGTACAGTTTGTAAAAAAAATTAAAATTTCATTAACCGGTGCAAAACATTTAGTTCGTCAATGCAAAAGACGACAGATCTAATATAATAATTATTTTTATCCCTATCACTATTAACATCTTCAAGAATGACATTGAGTGCACCTGCAATTTTGAGCGTTCTGTTTCTAAATATTCTCATGTTTCATAGTTCCAGAAAAAAAGTACTCATAGATTATTCGCAGTGCAACTGATGTTTCACCAATTCGCACATCTTCCAAGCTTGCAGGACTACCATTCCCAAAGGTAACGTACATCCTGATTAATCACTGTCATCCGTATATTCTTTAGCTTGATGATCATATAATAAAGCTGGCAATTCTTGAAGAAGTCGGCTCTTTCCTGTGCCTGGATGTAGATTTCGATCACCTGATTTACGGTATTTAAATCGATCAAAAAGATCTTACAACTTTAGGCCCGTTTTCGCTTACAGAATTGTATTTTTTATCCTATACACAGTCCCAAGGTAAATTGGGTTTTAGGAAAGTTTTCTTTAATTAAGAAATGTTTTTTAATAAAACATTTCTTTTTCTCTCTGACTTGGACATGTTGCACAAAAGCTTTCAAATAATAAGAAGGTGAGATTAAAATTTTAAGTAATGATGATGGGGCTTTTTTGCCAGGTTACTTGCAACTCTTATTGGGTACGTCCTGATTAAAAGAGTACGTCCACTGCAAGTTTCCGAACCAAGTGCACATTTACTACCCACACCTGACCTGGCCGTCTGTACTTCTAATATTTATTCAATAACTACACTTTTGTTACAAAAGCTACAGTGTTACGGCAACAGATATTCAATGTGAAACGATAGATAAATGGAAGAATGCTGCCGCAGTCTCCACCATGAATAAAGCAGTAAGTGTAGTCAAAGTACATATGAACCTAGGTAAAACAACTGATCCTGCCAGATCTTGAACAACCCTGAATTTTTATCACGTGATTCTAGGATTATTTTTACACGTTGATATATTAATTACCAATTTTGTTTATGATAAATAATTATCTATCTTAAAATAGTTAATTGCACAATTAATCATATAACCAACTGGCGACATTTGTTGATTCTCTTTGTTATTATTTTCTCTAATTATTTTTCGTGTTACAAACGAACTTATGTTGATTGATTTTGCGATGTGAAAAACGTACCGGTCTGCCACATAGCATATGATAAATTAATTAAATATAATCAGTTGTATTTAATAAAATAAATTATTAATTCTCAATTAATTCTGAAATCTAATTTCTTTCATTTTTGCTCAAGGGGACGAAAAATCACATAAACATTTTAATACCAAGTTTTGGTGATATGCTTTGCCAGTATGTAATAATTTTTAATGTTTATTTTTTTTAGCAGCTCGCTCATAATCAAATTAAACACATGCTTATGGATTAATTTTTTTTCCAACCACAAATGATGAACGAACAGTTGCCTGAAAGGTGAGTAGCTATTTTGTTAAAAGAATTAATTCAAAAAAACACCTCACCGAATTCCCACGCATCCAAGAGACCTGAATAATAACAAAAGAAAAAAAAAACTTTTAGCAATAGTTCGTTACTAACAGCGAAAAGAAAAACTCATATCCTCGAACAAATAGCACAAAATAATCGATATCGGAATTTAATTTACACCTACGCAGAAAGGTACAATATACCATAAAGTCACCAAGTATATAAGTGTACAATTGCTTTATACTGTATCAACAATATTATTACTTAGCTGATGGCGAAATTCCTTATAGTTAGATCATAAGAACGTGAAAGATTTCAAACAGTAATCCCTGAGTCCACGAAAAAACTAAAATCAGTACAAGTTTCAGATGAACAGTTGATTTACGTTACGTCCTAAATACTTCTGTAGAAATAACCCTAAAAAACCTAGGACCGGAGGAACACAGTCAATAAAATGAGAGAATATTAAACCAAATGTATTTAGTTTTTGCTTACCATTGATATTACACATTTAATACCAGATTCCTAGGTAAGTTTTGAAATAAAAAATAAACTACTAAAAAAATTATGTATATAGATTATTCAAAAATGAAGAAGAAAGCGAATTCTTTGGAAAAAATAACTGAAGAGATCACGTGATAATGCGTGAGTCGAATAATCGGATCAAAAAAAAAGATAAAGCGAGTTCTTTTTTTTAATGTTGCGATCAAAGTTTTTAATTAAATAATGAGTAAATAAACGTTAAAAAAAAAATATTATTACAATTAATTGTGTTTCCCTTATATATTATATGCAGAGTTCGAGAAAGTAAAGTAATTCATCTCAAATATCCCACTATATCATTCAAATTATTCATAATTTATCAAACCAAATTATTCTACTATCATCCCTATTTCCAGTAAGAAGCATATTTTTAAAACAAAATTAATGGATAAGTTTATTTGTTTTGTTCTCAGGCCGAGAGATTCCTTAAAGATACGATCGTGATTCTTTTCAACCTTCTATTAAAATACAAATTAAGTGAAAGATCTTATATAAAAATATTGCATCTATGCTACATCTTGGAAACATTATTTATAATAATTAAAAATGTTTATAATTAAGTAAAAAAATACAATAATATACAATAATTAGCAATTGATTATACTTCCTGGAAGGAAATATGATGCTAAAAAAATATCTAGATAATATTTCTTAATAGAGTCGGGAAAAATATATCGTTACATATAAGTCCTATAAGTCATCAGTGAATCATAATGCGGGCCAAAATCCAATTATTGCCAGCATTATGCAAACTCATAAAATCTCATATATTAAATGTCATGTGATTTGGATGGAATAACTCAGGCCAAATTTGTAGTGTTGGCCCGAATTAATTTAAGTGTAACCTAAAATATCGGTATAATTGTGAAAACCCAACCCTCGCGAGGATCGCCCTGCCTATTATTGCAATTAAACAACCCTGGGCATAGCCAGCGTTGTGATATAAAATAAAGAACAAAAAAAAGGAACTACATGAAAATGAAAAATACCCTCTACAAATAAACCCGGACGCCGAGAAAAAATTTCTATCATCTATAGGTGCTAGTTTACTGTAAGGACCCGGTACAGGCAGTTATCGGTAGGATATCGGTCTGACTGTACAGCTTTGGAAATCAAGTACCTGGACTTATCTAAATTCCTGGATGTTCGAATAGAATCCAGATTTAATTTATCTACCATAAAAAAAAAAATCCGAAAAAAACTAGTTTTTATTCCTAAGAAACAGACGTGTGATCATTTTTCTGAAAATTTTTTATAGGGCTAGATAATAGTTTTTTATCTGATTGATATTATATCCCTGTAAAAAAAGTCCATCCATTTTTATATTCCAAATTTTTTCCGTAAAAGGTTCATATTTCCGGAATTAATGATCTTATATCACGGAATTTATCAAATATTTACATTTTCTGTGAACGGATCCGGGAAAGGCTCATTTTACGTAGTTTTTACAGAAATAACGGATAAAATTTTTTATAGAATATTTGGCGTAGTGATGAATTAACTGAAACCAAATGTTGAAATTGTTTTAATATTTATTATTTTAGTTTTAGCTGGTTTTATACAATCGTATTTGATAGCAATACATTCCAAAATTGTTTTCATTATAGAATAATGATAAGAGCATACAGAAATTTTTTAAAAATTTTTTTGTAATAAATTCATGAGTCACAAAAAAAAGCGGGTATAATTTCTAACTCTCTATTGTCAAGTAGCAAAAACATATGAAAACTCGAATTGAATAAAAACTTTGTCTATATAAAGCTAATATGAGCAACACGCTGCTTTCTTACGTATATGTGAAAAAAAATTGAGAAAAAGTGAATTTTTGGTATGAAATTTTGCAATTAAGCTAACAATTCAGACTATAGAAAGTAATGAATTTAATTTATATTTAAAATTCTAAGAAAAATTATTTGATAATAAAGTATTTAATATAAGATTGGAGTAAATCTAAATAAATGTAAAATCAGATATATATACAGTATATATATTTAATAAAAGTGAACAAATTGTTGCCGACTTAGCCAGGTCTTTTAAAATCTTGTTGTCACCGTTGAGGTGCAGCAACATTGATCAGGAGGGGAGGGGAGGGAGAAAAAAGCGAGGGATGGGAAAGGGAAGAGCGAGAAATAATGGAAAGGGAAAGAGGAGGAGAAAGGAAAGGAGAATAAGGGAAGAAAGGGGAGGAGGAGAAGGGAAGGGGAAAAGGAGAGAGGACAACAAGAGAAAAGAAAGGTGAAGGGAATGGGAAAAGGGAACGGGAAAGTGAAAAAGGACGGGAAAGCGAGAGAGGAGCGAGAGTATGGGAAAGGGAAAGGAAAAGATGGAAAACGAGTGAAGAGCGAATAAATACGCACACACCACCCACCCATACATAACCCGCACTCCCAAACTACATACCTAAAAGAAGATGTAAAAAGGGAACTGAAGAATATCGGGTGAAGATATTCTTGGTTATTAGTTCATCTGATGAGTTACTTTTCAAGATTAATTAATTGAAAAACGAAAGAAGACCTAAAGAAAGAGAAGAGAAGATAGAGAAAAAAGGAAGGTTAAAAATACATTTTTAGTTAGTTGATTATAAAAAGACCGATAATCAGTTCTTGATGGCTTGATTGACTTTGACTTCCATACAAGATTTTATTTGCAACATTAATTAATTCTTTTGGTCTAGGTTCCATTTTTATTTTCATTTAAATAATTTTTAATTTTTTGAACTAAATAAAGATAAAAAACAAGGTGTTTCCTTTTATAATTAATAATGCATGAAGATCTTTTATTTTCAGGAAAGACGGATATGATGAAAAATCCAGCAGTACTATTTTTTACTTTTATTCTTTTTATTCCGATTTTAAAAGTCGTAAACCCATGATTACGGTATATATGTTGTGAATGAAATATTGGAAATCAAGGATCCGATTCAATTGGATAAAAAAAATAAAACGATTTGCACTCTGCTCCGGAAAAACCCTTAGACCCCAAAATATACATGGTTCCAAAAAAGTAATACAGATCTTTCCTCTTATGGATAATTCAATTTCTAAAAAAGATAAAGTGCGACCTATTTGGGGTTCCAGGTTTCAACACTGGTGACTATATATAATGGTAAACATTTATTTTTTTCCCACAGGAAACAATTAATAATAATTCACTATTCTCTCAGTTTGGAAATAGAAAGCAATTTAAAATTTCTTTTTATCAAGCATTTTAAAGAGACAAAAAAAAAAAAAAAAAAAAAAANAATTTAAACTTTAATGATTTATTATGGATATATGATTAAAATATTTTTGCTTGTATGGTAAAATTAATCTCTACATAGACTTTAATGGAAGTCAAAAAAAAAAAAAAAAAAAAAAATTTATTACGTTAAATTATAACCTAGTTCTTATGGATGCAACATCTTTAATTAAACTTCTGGATGATGATGATGATAAAAATGATGATGACAAAAAGAATGATGATGACAAGAAGAATGATGATGGAAAGAAATGGAATGACCTGTTGAAACGATGTCTCAATCAATCGAATCAATCGGATTCGGTGGATGAGTTCATTACCGAATTATCAAACTCTTTTGACAAATACCTACCGAAACTTCAAGCGTTTACTTCCCACCTCTGCGATAAATATTTACAGGTCGTTACAAATGTCAATTTGAAACGGAATATCTTACTTGCTAAATTCATCTCACGTTTAATCACCGATGTAATCAAGGAAAACCTGCACAAATCTTACATTTTTGGCTTTAATGAGCTCCTTCACAACTGTGTTGAACTTCTCTGGTGGGCTGGTATTAAAGAAAATAATAAACCGAATTCAGTCTTTAATACAATTAAAAACATCTTTAGTGCAATCATGCATGCTAATATTCTGGAAGTTTTGATATCAGAATTGTATGGTTATCATTGCCTTAAACGTATACTGTTTGACTTCAACCTGATTAAACACATTGAGCAGGTAGAGTTGCTCAAGGCGGTAGATATAGTTGCTGATCTTGTGGAAAAATGTCCTGAGCATGTAAATAACTTATCGTTGTCAGAAGGTTTTTCTGTATACAAAGCTTGCACTGCACTATTGAGAACTCTAAGAGATTACGAGAGCGTTGATAATAAGGAGCAACATTGGCATAGGAGGCAAACTGTCGGTAAAAACAGCTTGTTTCCTTTATCTATTAAAGATGAACAGCATCTCACATTATTGGGGATGAAGATGCCTCAAAAGCTTTCAGATTTACCTCACTTTTCACGAGCTCTTGAGCAACGAAAGATAGATTCATTTGAGGTAATTACTTTTTTTTTGCTTTAATCAAACATAATTAATTGAACTGCAAAATTGACAAACTTTATTTAACTTTCACTTAGAATTTAATGGAACTTTTTCCATGTATAAGTTGCCAAAGGCAGGCGCTTAATTATGTTTTTCCTGATGAATACATTTTGGAAGACGAGTCAGCACCATCAAGATGCTTTCACCTTCCATTTGAATTTAATGAAGATGATAAGCTCGGACCTTGGGATATCTTGCTTAGCGAAGACGCAATTAAAGACCTGCAACATTTGGAATCAAGACCTGATGTGATTAGGTTGATTATGCAAAAACTTGGACAGATATCTTCTGGAGCATGGGACAGACATAAGTTGCGATGTAACGCAATGCAAACTAGTGCTATTCCGGTTTATGAGATAGTACTTCCCGATAATGGTCTAAAGATTCTTTGGCAGATTGATTATGGATTTACTATTCGTAGCAATTCACTTACGCAGCTTGTCAGGATTTGGGCTGTCACCGATAATAAGGAACAAATAGACCAAGTATTAAATGACCTTTCAATAGTTCATCAAGTTTATACTTCAAAGCAGAGACATTGGTGTATGGAACAAAGAGCTAAAAATAATTTAGTTTTACCAAAAATCCTTGGAGATGGAGAAGATACGGGATCTTCTGAAGACAGGGTATATGCCTCAAGAACGGAAGATGAGTTGTTAATGATTCATAAAAAGCTTGTTACAAATAAATTTGTTCCATTATCAACGGTAAGTATACAGAGACGATATAAAAATATTTAATTAGAATTTATTTTAATAGATAATATTCTTTCTTATAGAACTTGTATAAGTCACTAGTCTTGGGTGGTCTTAGATTTACCTTTCAAGTATCTAAGAGAGAGTATGAAATTATTAATTGTCCTACATCAGCGATCGTTGTTGGTCGATCAGGTTAGTAGGAAAAACATTTTGTAACTAAGAAGTAAGTTTAGTCATTTGATTTTATATATAACAAATATTTAATATTTAGGGACTGGTAAGACTACATGTATTGTGTTTAGGCAAATCGCTTCATACCTAAATAGCCAAATCTACGAAAACCCATCTTTATGTGGCAATAACAGAAATTTTTACAAAAGACAGATATTTATTACAGTGAGCTATAATTTGCGTCACCACGTAAAGAAATATTTTGACAGGTTGTTAGAATCTGCTGAACTTGCTGGAAAACAGATAACTAAGGCGGAGTTTCGTAAATATAGAGAGAAGAAAGAGAGGGGCGAATGTGTTTCCACTTTAACAATGCGCGAAGAGAGAGATGAGGAAAAGGAGTTAAAAGAAATTCCAAACACGTTTAATTATCTGCAGCTGACAGATGACAAATTTCCTTTGTTTATTACTTTTGACAAATTTTTTGAAATGCTTCAAGGAACTTATGGTATCAAAAATCAGGACTTTATAATACAAAAAAAATTGAATGCAGATAATATCGATTTATATGACAAGGATAAAGAAAGATTTAACCGAATAACAAAAGACACAGAAGAAATTTTCGTGAGTTATGATAGATTTCGGAAAAAATATTGGCCATCTCTTAATGATTACAGTAAGAAAAAATTTGATTGTGAGTTGGTTTACTCTGAATTTTCTATTATTAAGGTGAGTAATCAGTAATTAATTACATGGCATATTAATATATCAGATAAATTTCGAGTTCCATTTAATTTTTCATAAAAAATTTAAGGGTACAAATCCTGAAGTGGATTTCTTATCAAGAGAGGATTATATAGACGTCAGTATCAAAAAGTATCCAGCATTTTGCTATAACCGTGATGAGATTTATGATTTATTTCAGCATTATGAAAAGATGAAGGCGCAAAGGCATGAATATGATTCGATGGATCGGTAAGACCAATTGTATAATTTTATAGTTTTTATTTTTTAGGATAAATTATTTGAAATCTCGAAATCTTTACAGAACGTTGGCCATCTTTCGTCGCGCCAAAAAAAAAGCACTGGGTAGTTTACATATACATGAAGTATATATTGATGAATGTCAAGATAATCATATTATGGATTTAGCCCTTATCCTAAAGGTTTTTGACCGTACTAGTAGCATTTTTTTTGCAGGAGATATAGCACAATGTATTGCTAAAGGGTCTTCTTTCCGATTTCAAGGTATTCGCATAAAATAAAAAAGTTTATTTCCCTAATTTTAATTTTAACAATTTTTTTTTTAATAATATCTGATATAGATTTACAAGCCTTAATGTATCAATGGGAACTTACTCGGAAAAATGACAATATTTTAAAACCAAAATTATTTGATCTGAATATTAATTACCGTTCCCATAATGGAATTCTTAAACTTGCTGCTTCAGTGGTTAAACTTATCCAGCATCTTTTCCCTAATTCAATTGACCAATTATCATCTGAACGTAGTGAGGTTGACGGTCCACTGCCTATTATCGTTAATGAGTTTAAAGAGGAATATTTTAATATTTTAAATAACAGGCCAAATGAGCTTAAATTTACGTATGATATTTGCAGGGAAATGAAATTTAAAAAACGAAGTTCACTTATCGAATTTGGTGCTGATCAAGTGATTATTGTGCGCAATGAAGAAGTTAAATCACGTGTAATGAAATTAGTCGATAAAGGTGCAATGGTGTTAACCGTGTTAGATGCTAAGGGTATGGAGTTTAATGATGTTCTTTTGTACAATTTCTTTACCGATTCACCTGCATGCCGAAAGGTATAAATTATACGTACTGTACTGTAACCTTAAACTATTCGAGATTATTTATTCATTCATTCTTGCTTGTTTTAGTGGCGGGTAATTCTTTCTGCTGTAAAAAAAAAGTCCGAGCGTGTACCGGTCTTCTCTCACGAGAAGCATTATATTCTTTCATCAGAGCTTAAACATCTATATGTTGCAGTAACTAGGGCTCGACGGAATATCTGGATCTGCGACGAAAATACTGAGTATAGCTTACCAATCCGAGTATACTGGGAACGCTGTGAGGAAGATCGAGAAGAAGATCAGGAAGAAGATCGGGTAGATCAAGAGGAAGAAGTTCGAGAAGAAGAAGATTGGGAAGAATATCGGGAAGAAGATCGGAAAAAGGATCAAAGGCTATTCAGGGTAAAAACTATTTCTAATTTGGGACAGGCGAAAACCTTTTTTTCTAATTTGGCTAAGAAAAGTAGTCCAGATGAGTGGGATCAAAAGGGAAGAGATTATTTTGAAAAACAGCAATATGAGCAGGTAAATCATTTTTTGAGTTATTCAATTTCAATTTTATTATATTTGACAAAAAAGTTAAACTATTTTTAGGCTATTTTTGGTTTTACGAAGAGTGGAAATGAAAAGGATCGTAAACTAGCTTATGCATATCGTCTTCGACAGATCGCTAGGGATTCTAGAGATGATGATTTCAATGAAGATACTATAAAATCTAATTTTACTAATGCTGCTAGAGCTTTTCAGGAATGTTCTCGACCAGACGAGGCAGCTAAATGCTATCAGGTATTTCTAGCTATAATTAGGATATATGTCGGCTCCAATTTTTTCCAATACTCACTAAAGCTGACATTTACAAATTTACTTAATGTTACCTAATTTGCTTAAAGAAAATTGGCATGTATAAAGAAGCTGGTGATATTTATGCCGAAGATAAGAATTTTGAATCTGCTGCATATAGTTATCTTAAGGCATATATGTATCTAGAAGCGGGTAAATATTTTGAAAAGGTAGAGAAGTATGATGATGCTGCTTTTGCTTACAAGGATGGTGATCTTGAAATTGCGGCTAAATTTATACTAAGGTGAGCCCAATTTTAATTCCACCCATTGAATTAACTTGTAAAAATTATGCAATCTAAAATTTAATTAATTATTTATTTATTTATTATAAAAAGTTACAAACAAGAAATTAAAAACAGGACATTTCGACATGTTGCTCGTCACATTAAAAACAGTTATCATTCTGTTGCCATTTCAGATGGTAAATTTGATAAGGCTGTTGATATGTATAAAATATTGATCGATGATAATAATGATGATGATATTGATGAAACATTAGAATTAATCTTGTATATATGCAGAATTGATATGTTGAAGGAAACAATAATATATATTACAAGTCCTAGTACTCTTCAAAAATATCTTTCCAAGGCGAAAGAGTTTATCATGGAATTTGAATCACGATTGATAAGTAAATCTGAGAAATGGAATAATTTAATAGAAGAGTTTAATTTATATTCAGCTTACTTAGATAAGGATTTTAATAAGGTTTACGAGTATATACAATTTTTTAGGCATCGTAAAGAGCTTGCTACCGAGTTTCATGCGGTAAACATATGGCTGCAGATTCTTCCACAATCATCTGGTATTCAATCTAAACATCATTATGAACGACTGAAAAATCTGCAATGGATGTGTGAATTAGTCTTTTCTTTTATAAATATTATCAATAATAAAAAGAGAAATCAAATCAAAAAGAATTTTGAAGACATTTTCTGTATAAGAGAAGTTATTAACCTACAAAAACGGCAAATTTCATTTGGCAACCCACTTCTCAATCTCGTAGACAAACCGTTTAAAAGCATGATAGAGATCAGCGAAGAAAACAGGAATGATCAGCATATTTATGATGCGATTGATGTACACCGAAGTATTTTAAAATGTCTTGTCCCACGCATTTTTAAGCATATCCAAAATGCTGACCAGAAGGGTAGAAATATTCCAGATATAAGTTATCAACTGTGTTATAAGTTTACTTCCTGTGAAAAATCAGGTTGCCGGCGACATCATGTGAAACCAACACCATCAATTCTGTATCAACGTTTGATGTTTTCCCGTCTCCAATACACCGTAATGATAATGTTCGATGATGTATTGGAAAAGTATCTTAATTACAAACAAATTAAAAAAATTCGTAACTTACAAAAGTGGTGGACTGAAAGATTGATTAAAATTCATACTCGCTATCAATCTCCACAAGTAAGCTGTCCGGAAGCCACTTATATTAAATTCCCTGAACGTGAGACGCTTATTTATCCTGCTCGCAAGACATGGTTATTCAATTTTAAAGACATCAATAACTTTGAAGTTATATTGGAATATATGTTTGTTTTTCAGTGGTTGCAAGATAGACGGAGTATTAATAAGTTTAATTGGAAAGTATCAAAAACAAAAATCCTTTCACATTCTAACAATTTGCCTATTGGTTTTGAGTACTACAAAGGGCATAACAAAGCAATACCAGTTGGAAATCGACTTTCATCATTCTTTTTTCATCTTTATCTCAATAATGTGATTAGTGCAATTTCAAATATAAAAATATTTATCCAATATGCTATTGATAACGCACAACTGGTTAATCTTGTTACATCTGATGCTTTTGGTAATTTAATTTCTCTTATAGAATTTACTATATCTTTAGTTTTTACAATTAAACCTGGATATTGTGACTTTTGTATTCCTCGGGCTTTTTTGATTAATTATTTTGAAGAGTTCACTGCAGAGCCGCTTATTCCAGATGATCAACATAATTATGACAGGGAGAAATATCTAGATATGATTAATAATTCTTTTGATCAAGTCCAAAAACTTCTTAACCTTCTTATTTGTGAAGAGCAGGTCTACTTGTCAATTATTCTTCGACTGATACGTCTCTTGATCCTCGTTAGTCTAAATGAAACAAAGCTTGCAACAAAAGTCATTATTCTTTTCAAAAATTTGAATCGCAAAGTCTTTTCTGCGAAAATTAAAAAATATCTGGAAAAGGAATCTTTGGAACAACTTACAAATGTTTTATGTAACGATCTTAAGGAAACAGGTTGTGATTACCTTGTTATTGTTTACCATTATGCGAAATATACAGAAGTTTTGTCAAAATTTTCTAGAATAGAAAAAAATAGTTTTAAGAAGCTTAGATATAAATCTACTAAAGAATTCCATTCTGCTCTCCAGCAGATTAAATCACCGGTAAATAATCAGGAAAATGTTACAACTGTAAATAAACTTCAAGTTTGGTATTGCAAAATTCGTCGATCTCAAAAAGCAATTAGAAAAATTCAAGGCTGGTTTCGCAGGGTAATAAAAATCAGAAAAATTCAGGCCTGGTTTCATAAGTTAGAAGCTGTCAAAAAAATTCAAAGCTGGATTCGCCGAGTTTATAAACGGGTGAAATCACGTCAACCTGGTTATGACCCAACTCCGAATAAGATTTACAATGATATGGTGGTATTCTGCAAAAGTATTGCGAAAGAAGTAAACAAAAAATCGGTGTGCGTATATAATATTTTATTGAGAGGCCAGACAGTGGATATTGTTGTGAAGCTCCTTAGGCTATACAAGCGGATGAAAGCATTTATTAATAAATGTTCTCCAGATTCAAACAAAAGTAATCGCCGTTTAGAATTGGAAGATGAACTAAGGTTTGTTAATATTTGGATTTTTTACAATGGTTTTTTTTCTTTTACTAAGTTAAGCGAAACTTGTAATTTTAGGAATAACCATTATAAAGAAGTTGAACAAGCGCTAAAATCGTTGTCAATAACTGAGAATTCAGCGCAACATAAAGAAGTAAATATTAAGTGGTTGAAAAAAGAATTGCAACAAGCAGAGGATATTATTGATCAATTTCAGAACTGGGTGGATGAATACGAGGATGAAGTTAATAGTAATAAAATTTTCCAGCAAAAAGAATTTTGAATGGGACAAAGTGCAACCAAACGTAATATTTATCCTTATGATTCGTTCTATTTATTTGCGGTTATTCCATTTCCAGCTATCAAAGTTATGAGTAATTTTATGTGATAAAATTTATATTTGCAAAAAAAAAAAATCCGATTTACTAGTCTAAAAGTTAAAACCAAATAACAGTATTTTTCAACTGGATGTGATAGATTGTAGTATTTTAGGATATTATTTAACCTTTATATAACAATTGGATCTCTAATTTCCAATCTAAATAATGTAATTTTATTTACTTTTAAAAATTTAAGTCAATTAACTGTTGATCTAATTGATTTTTTCTATGTAATTTGTTAAGTTATTAAGTAAATAAATGAGTCCAAGTTCTAATCAAGAATAAAATTTGATAGTACCTATTGCAATGTTGCATGTATTTACACAAAATATTTTAAATGTTTCCAACTTTTAAATTTAAACTACCTTGATGATAAGAAAATCAATTTATTTATAGTGTGCTGAGTAAGTACGCTTAGTAGTACGCTGTATCACTTCCCACTATATTAAGTTTTTTTTCCAAACGCATAACACAAAAAAATTTTTTTTTTTTTTTTGGCATAAAAAAACTTTTTTAATTTTGTAGAATTCATATTTAAGTTTATGAGATTTTAAAATTTCACCAATCAATAGCATGTTACAGAAATGCTAATTTTCTTTTTTACCACTTTAATAAAATAAATATATATTTAAATTCAATAAATATCATTATTTTACTGTTTCATTATTAATTTTGTATTGAGTGTTTATTTGCTTTGAGTTTTATAGTAGTGCCGCAACATTTTTTTGTATAATATTATATTTAAAAAAATGTAGTGAAAACGTTCTTTCATAATAAAATGGTGCGAAACATTTTTTTTAATATATTACTAGCTGTCACCCGTTGCTTCGCGCCAGGACCAATGAGTTTTTTTAAATAGAAAGATTTAATATTATAATGTAATACTAAGTAAATTAAAGAAGTTTTTTGTTTATAATTAGGAATTTAATATTGTAATAATTAGGTAACAAAAAATATGTATTAAATTATATTTATAATATTAGAATGATATAAATAATAAATTATTTTTAAAATAATGTATTAATGATTTGATGTTTGAGTGTAGAGTGAAATTCGGATTAATTAAGAATTGTGAAAAAATAATTATCAATAAAAATTGATTAATTTTTTTAGAAGTATTTTTGAGAAAACTTTAATATTATGAAAATACTACAAATATTTATATTAATTAATTAATTATTTCTTATTATTTTTAAACTTATAATCAACTTAGGAAAAATATTTGAATCATTTAAATGTATTAGAAATCTGTTCATTTCATATATTATTATTCTTTTGATACTCATTTTATTCGATAAATTATTAATTTAACTAAACCATTTGAATTAAGAATTTTGGTTATAATAGTCTATTATTAAATCAACAATTTCTTCAATTAATTAATTATAAAATATTGTAAAAATATCAATTTTTTTTTGATTTTTATGAATTTGAAAAAAATTAAAAATAAATTTGGGGGAAAGAAATCGGTTCAAAAAAAGGGAAATTTCTGAAAAAAAAGGAATCTGAAAAAAATAAGTATCGAAAAAAATTAAACCTAAACGGGAAAAGAATGAGAAAAAACAAATTTTCGGTTTGAAAAAAAAACTAAACCGAAAGAAGAAAGGAAGAAATTTTTTTTTTCAGTTTGAAGGTAAATTGGATTGGAATAAATAGATCAGGTGGAGGTATGTCACGGGAATATTATGCAGAGACTAATCCAAACGTCAGATAAATTTTTTAAGTTATATAGTTTATTAGTTATATAGATTTATCAAAAAATTTATTGATTTTATTGATTTAATTACAAAATATCTATATAATTAAAACAATCTCACAAAAAAAATTCGTTAATATCAAAAAAAAATTTCACACGAATTTATTAGTTAGAAACAATATCATTGACTAAAAAAAGAATAGACTATTTTTTGGGTTAAAAAAAAATCCAAAATTTTGATAAATTCCGATTAAAAAAAAATCCCCAATAATGATAAAAAGAGGGAAAAATTAAAAAAAAAAAAGACTAAAAAGGTAGTTTCGGTTTTTTGGTAAAAACTGAAAAAAATTATTATTAAAGAAATGGTTCGTGGTAATTAAGAGAGCGGAAATGACCACNTATTATTAAAGAAATGGTTCGTGGTAACTAAGAGAGCGGAAATGACCACAAATAAATGCATAATCCATCAGAATAAAAAAAAATACAGTTAAAATTTTAATTAACTGTAAATGTATTAGTTTAAAGATTTGTTATCGTAGTCAGTTAATTATGATATGATATATTAATTATGATATGATAATTACGAAATAGATCAAACGCACACTTTTCAATGTTACACAATTCAAATTATTTATACAGGGTAATCTAAATATGACAAAATTTTTTTAATTAGATAGATTATGAAAAAACGTTACTGACCAGAGGTAGGTCATGAATTTGATAACCCTGACCGCAAGTTATTAAGAAAATGTTTTGGCATTTTTTCTTGAAATTTTTATAAATAGAAATGTTTTTTATTTCTTCTAATGAAAAAACATTGGGTTCGATAAAAAAAAATATTGTTTTAATGAAAAAATGTCGTGTTCGACTTTTTTTTTTTTTTTTTAGTTTCTTTTAATGAAAAAACGTCAGATTTGATGTTTATTATTTTTTTTTAATGAAAAAACGTCAGATTTGACGCTTTTTATTTTTTTCAATGAAAGAACGTCAGATTTGACATTTTTTATTTTTGTTTTAATGAAAAAAATCAGATTCGATGTTTTTTTATATTTTTTTAATGAAAAACACTGGGTTCAATGTTTTTTTATTAAAAAACGTAATCTTTACTAAATCTTGCATTAGCATTTACACTAACCCAATTCCTCTAAACATGAACTCTTGTTATATTAATTGCAATTTATGGATATTCGAATAACCTGGGTTTATTCGAGTTAATTATGCTCATCAGGTCGGTCGAGTCGAATATTTTCTCCAAACCCGACTTGAGTTGACCCGGTAGGAGAGCACTAGATCAATTTAAATTAACAAAGCAATATAAATATATAAATTTGGTTTTTCAGACTGAAGCATTGTAATTAATATTATTAATAAATTGGTCACGTATGCGACTAATAAAATTATCACTATTTCATACACGGGGGTTATATTACGCAATTTTCTTTTTTTTTGATTAGTAACGCATTTTCTTTATTAACTGTTTTTATATAAAGCAAGCAAAGATTACATTAATTTTAGAAATACATGTACATAGAGGTGAACAATTATAACGATTGAATAACCCTATAACTAACCGATCTATCTATGCTCTATCCTCTCCATTGATTCCAAACGAGCCACTTCTGTAGATAAATTATTGACCTTTTCCATTTGAAGTTGAAGTTTCTTTTTAACGATCGATGCTGCCTTATATCGCCCATTAGCTTCAAAATCCTTAAATTTGTAAAATTTCACTTTACAAAAACCAGCAATGAGCCTTGTACCAAATTTATTGTTTTCAAATTCTATACCTCTTTTCAAAAACTGATCGCGCCGTATACGTTGTGCTTTTGTTGATTTCGTTAAAATCGCAGGATTTTTTAATTCTTTATAAAAAAAAAAGAATCATTTGCCCTAGTAACAACCTTTGTGTAAGCCATACCCAAACGTTTGGATATAATTATTTTTTCGTGACTATTAAAGGTACGTAAATATCGGTTGATATGCATTGGTGGATCTTCCACGTGACTAATTTCTTTCACGTGATGCGGACGATTTTCGTTCATTACAAAAGTGCTTGGGAAATTACATTTAATCAACCCACATGGTAAATTCCCACATAAAATCCACTAATTCCATAACTAAAACGAAAAAACGGTTTTGTTTTTCTATTGCTTTTCTCTGAAATATCCTTATATGATTTCCTTTTTCGCGCTTCAATAGCTTCATATTGTTGACTCAAAAGAGTTCTAATTCTTTCTTCTAGCTCGTGATGGAATGAATTCTTGCGTAAAAATCAACTAGTAAGAAATTTACTAAATTTATATTTACCATTCATATTAGTTGCATTCGAGGTGATAAATTCTGATTTCTGATAACATTTTGGGGTTATTCGTATGTATCACTAGATTATCCTTGTCAAACAAGTAACAAAAATTTCTTCTTCAAACATTATACAAACGATTGGAACCTGCATAAGATTTCAATGGGAACTGCGTATCATACACGTAGGACAACTTAAATTCGTAAGATCTGCACGTTGTCTGATTATCCATTGATTGGTTCAATCTTCACAGATGTTGCATGAAATTCAGCAAGCTAGATTACCAAAATCGTCAGATCACGTAATGGGAAAAAAATTTTTTTCCCACAGAAAAATTTTTGAAGAAAGAAAATTATTCAAAAAGAAAGGAGGGAGGAAATACGTAATAACAAAAAGAAAGTAAAAGTAGGAATAAACGCTATACAAAGCTAAAACAAATGGAAATTTGTGTATAATAAAATATCTATTATTAATAAGGGTTAGGTGCATCTATTTTCTCGTCTAAAAAATTATTTTAGTGATGGCAAAAGTTTTATCGAATAAATTTCAGACCAAATACATTTGAAACTGCCCACAAAGTGATAAAAAGTCCTTTTGAGCTAACAAAACTTGTTCGGATTTTTCAAAAGCGCTCTGCGCCACACTAGTAGAAGCTGTCTTTTAATCTTTAGATTATCAATTATTACGCCAAGATTTTTTAACAAATAATGTTCTATTCCCTAAATTGGAATTTTGCCATGACTTTTTCTTTTAGAAAAATGTGATTTCTTTAAAAAATGTATTTTTTTTTAAAAAAAAAAAGAATAAAAAAAACGAAATTTTTATTTTCAAATATTTTTTCTTTGGTTTTTTTTAAAAAATGACTCAAAAAAATAAACTACAAGTAACGTATCAAAAAAAAACTACAGATAACGAATTTGAAATAAATGAACAAGTTCTTAAAGCACAAAAAATCGTAACGACATGCTAAAGAAGTTTTCCTTATGGCTATTAACTCGATAAAAAATAATCAATAGTAAGTAAAATAATTAATATAAAAAAAATATGATTTTTTTAAGTTTTGGTAATAAGATTTTATTATATAAAATATATTTAACATTCAAGAATGACACAATTACGGCCTTTTAAAAAAGACATACGTCAAATATGGCGAATTTATGGAAAAATAAGCAGAAATTATTGGTTGGAACGATATGCTAGGCTCATACCGATAGAAATAAACAATATTTTAAAGGTAGTGTGTCAAATAAAATTTTCTATTAATTCTACTAATATTAGAAAACCAGGTCTTCGTGCAGGTCTAATAAAAGACACAAAAGCTCACA